AAAATTAATTTTGATCTTGATTTAAAAAATCATTCATTATCGTTCTCTATTTTTTTTCCAAATTTTTGAAAAAAAAACCTCCAAAAACCCGAAATTTTCCAAAAAGTGAATTTTGTCGCCAAAAAAGTTGGTTTTCATTTTCTAGGTAAAAATGTTTTAGAATATGTTTTCTAGGGTTATTTGCTAAATTTTACAAAACATTTTGACACTTTAGCTCTATTTTGAAGAAAGTTACAGTCAAAAAACCTGTTGAGTCGACAGTGTCAACGCATTCTTTTTGGCCAGTACTGTACGGTTCGAGGTCGCCATTCAGTCAGCCGCCGCTCAACGTCGTCCTTTTTTTGTAGTACTTCTCTGCGTTTATGTTGTAGTTTTTCTTATTGTCTGAAACCGTTTTTTTCTGCATGCTATTCTGGTTTTTAAATTATCTGTTTTGCAGGCGCTGTGACACAACAAAAGTCCGCCTCAGAACCCCGACCTGACCAACAGAAGTCATAAAACTCTAGATAATTACAAGAGAATAAAAATCCGGATATTCACGTATTAATTCAAGAATGCAGCAAGACGACCAACAATCTCCTGGATATGACTATGAGCCACCAGGCGTGGACCATAGAGCCCTCCCTGTTTCAGTTCAACTTACCAATTATGAAGAATGTGAGTGAACAGATTGAAAATTCATTGACACAAACAAAATTTTCAGATTTCCTTCGCGGAGTGTTTGGTCAAGGCGGTTCCAGCGTTGTATTCCGCGTCAGGGATCGGAATGGTCACCAATACGCGGCAAAAGTGCTAACAGAAAAAGCTAGTCGTCATTCAATTCAACGCGAGCTGGAGGTAAGCAAAATTTGTAGAGTTCGAGTATCGAATTTGACTCAACGAGTGTTCTGAACTATGGAAAATATAGTACTACATAAAAAAATACCACACCTTTTTGTTGTTGAAGTTTTTTACCGTTCTGAATGTTGTTGCATCAAGTTGATGTTTGATGAAAAGAACTCTATCAATTCAATTTTCAGACATATCAGAGAATTGCTCAAAACCCCCACATCAACTTGCTAACGTTGCATTTGTCAGAAAAATTGTTGAATCCGTCGCCAGGTTATAGAGATGACGTTTTTATCACTGAAGCATGTGGACCGTCCATCAAAGATATTATGATGAGTGAGTTGGTCGGTAGAGTCCTTATCTCAAAAATATATTGGATTGGAAATTAAACTGATTAATCGTTCTATAAACCGTATTTTCAGGAGCTAAAAGAGATATTGGTAATGTCCAATCGCCTACGTTCTCAATCAACGCTATTAAAAGTATTGGTCGACAAGTTGGAGAGGCATTGTTCCACTTGGAAAAGCTCAAAATCTATCATTTGGACATCAAATCTGCCAACGTTACATTTATGAGCACCGTCAAATACGATGTGGATACGAACTTGGCTCAACCGAGCATCACAATGAATGATCTTCAAATTAAATTAATTGATTATGGAAATTCTTTGCCCCATTCGACACCTGGAATCCCAGAAATCTATAAGCTGGTCCAACCACAAAACTTGCGTGCACCAGAAATTTTTATGGGTGAGTTTTTAAAAACATTTTTATGTGTGAGTTTGTTTTGTGAATACTCTGTATTTGAATTTTTCAGGAATTCCTCACAGCGAAAAGACTGATGTCTGGTCCATGGGATACCTGATGGGCCAAATGTATCTCGGAAAATCAATTTTTATGTCTAGAACCGGCGCAACTCAGATCGAAATACAACAATCGCAATTTGAGTTGATTGTTAATAGAATGAATGCAACCATTCCAGAGGAAATGATTGAGGTGTCCAGACAAGGAAGGTAAGGACATACTTCTTATTTATTTTTTTTTTTGAAACTGTTCTAAAATATGATTCGCTTACAGAAAATGCACCCTTGATCTCAACTTCCTCACTAACCGTGACGGAAACAACCACCAGGATTTTTCGTTAAATTTGATGCGTGACATGAGCGATTTTCCACTATTCGAATTTTTGCTATTCGTCCTCGTTTTCAATCCTGTCGAGAGACCATCCTTCGAGGAACTCCTCAATCACAAGTTTCTCGCCAACTGCTAGCCGGACTTTTCTAATCAACTTCATCAATTTTTCATTCATTTTGACTTGTTCTTGTTGTTACCCGTTACTTTTTGTGTTCAACACACTTTATTTCCAACCCAATATACCGAATGATCAGTGTCCCTGAAAATCTTTTCCTTGTGATCTCATACTGAAATCCATGGGGATCCCATTCTTGAAATCCTATTACGATCATTCCTACATACTTTCAAAGCACTCGTTAATTTTGAAGCATCCTCACACTCTTCTTAAAAATCATTTTCTTAAATAATATACGATTTCGATGTTTTCAAAATTCTAATTCAGCTTTCTTGATTCTTCATCAAACATTTTTTAAAAAAGGTATTCTGATATCGGCACATCAAACAAGCCGGAAAAGTTCCTAGAGTGGATACATTCGGAAATTTAAAACAATCGATCTTGATGAACTTCAATAAATGACAACGGAATTCGGAGAAAACTACAGTTTCTGTGAGAAGCGGGACGACTCCAAGAGACGGAAACTTTTCGTAAAAAACTTCTCTGCCTTGAACTTTGGTAAGACGTACTACCCGCGTTTTCATCGTTAAAAAAGTTTTCGAATGAATCGAAAAAGCTAGTGTTTTTTGTTTTTGAAAAACAGCACAAAATGCAAACGATTATTTTAAGAGTCAAAATTGTTTTTTGTTTCTGAAAGATGAAATTATGAAACAAAACCAACAACTTGAAAGCATCAAATTTATATTCCAAAGAAGTGGACCATGAATTGGGTGTCAAATGGCTCACAAAAAAGGTGATTTGAAAAAGACTCGTACTATTGAGATTTTGAGAAGAATGGTAGTGCTAAACACACGAAAAATAAGTTGAGTGTCGTCAGTGGGATAAGGAACATTGTCACTGAAACATGAATGTGTAACGGGTAGAAAATATGAAACAGAAGTGAACATGGAAGAAATACAAAATTTGAATTTAAATGCCTGCAAAGAACTTGTGGCTGATAACTTCAGCGAACGATGGTCTCTCGGCAGGATCAAAGATCAGAATGAACTTGAGAAGATCAAACAATGGAGAATCGGTTTCATCACGCATTAATTTCATTAACAAGTACTGGTTGTCTGCTTCTTTGCGATTTTCGAGGAATTCGAAATTGATGGTGCAACTTCTGAAAACAAGTTTTTAAATTGTTCCTAATGAATTTATCTGAAATAGTGGTGATAGGATAATTTCGTACCCTCTTTGCTTAGACTCTTCGATCATTTCTGGTGGAATGGTTGGATTCATTCTGGACACCATGTGCTCAAATGTAGATTGATCTTTCTCGCAAGTGGGAGCATCATGATTCGGACGGAATAGCAACTTCACAATGTACAGTTCAGCCATCAGGCATCCCATGGACCAAACATCCGACTTTTCGTTGTAAGGAAGGCCTGAAAATAGGGAGCATATATTTTATGAAAAATCCAGAAAGATTGTCAGCACTGTTCTGATGAAACTGAAACTGAACAACTCACCCATGAATACTTCTGGGGCACGAATGTTCTGCGGTTGAACTAGTTTAACTGGTTTCGGGTCACCAGGTTTTGAGTGAGTCAAAGAAGTTCCATAATCAATGACTTTGATCTCAAAGTCATTTATTGTGATGATCGGGTGGGTCAAATTCGGATCCATTTCATACTTGACGTTGCTCGTAAACGCGACATTGGAAGCCTTGAGGTCCAAATGATGAATTTTTAGTTTTTCCAAATGAAGCATGGCATCTCCAACCTGCTTTCCAATACGTTTGATATTGTTCATAGAGAACGAGCACATCTTGGTATTACCAGTTTCTCTCCTAGCCTCTGGAAACATCAGTTTATACAGAGATTATTGTCGAATTAAAGTTTCAGATTCTTTCCACTATAATATTTAACTCATTGTACCAAACTCACTTGTCATGACTGCTCTGATGGACGGTCCGCATGCTTCTGTGATAATAACCTCATCTGTATATCCTGGCGGTGGATTCGTCAATCGGCCAACTGAATTCAACAGCAACAGGTTATCGTGTTGGTTCTCCTGGATTTTACGGAGTGTCTGTAAATAATTTTTCATCTCCCGATTTGGTTACCAAAAGTATCTGCAATTCGCTTACAGCCAATTCATAGCGCGTCGAGTATAGTCTTCGAGAAATCACTTTCGCAGCTAATTGCTGACCATTTTGATCACGGATCCGGTAAACGACAGAGAATCCACCTACTCCAAAAACTCCACGAACTTTGTCTGAAAAATTGAATAGAGTTATTTCAATTAGTTAAAAGTTGATGACTCACATTCTTCGCCGGTGCACAGCTTCAGTACAGCGGGATGTACCTTTTTATTCAGGTCTACTGGCTCAAAATCATATCCAGGGGACTGTTGACCGTCTTGTTGCATCGCTGCTTCTAAGCTATCGTCGAACGGCAATATCGCATCTTTATCAGGTGACACCAATGGTCTTTTCTGTAACAAACATTTTCATGACTCAAAAAGGTCACTTTAATGATGAATTCTTCTTTCAAAATATTCCAAACACTCACCATGATAATGTCGCTATTATTTCTTGGATTCGCTGATATTTATGTTCTCTGGTATATCTTTGTTTTTGAAGCTTGATTTTTGTGACGTCACCTGAAATTTATGATGTTTATAAAACGAAATTGCTAATTATTGCAGACTTTTTCAAGCAATGAAACATGTAAGGGAACAGAGAAATACGATTTCCGGAAAAAACCTAATTGATGCGAAACTGCAGGCGGCCGACAAAATGGCATAGTGACACAGACAAACACACAGACGGCGCGCGTAAAGAGGAGGCACACCGTGTTGAGGCGTCCCCCGTCTAATTATGAGGCCACTCTGTGTTACGGCGGGGTCATCCCTCGTTCTCCTAGCTCGTTTGATCCGGTTGCAAATCAATAACTTTTTTTTAACACAGCGTGCCGGCTACGTTGTAGTTGTTTTTTGACCCTCATCGTTACGTGGTGCCGTCTCCATGCAGTGTCGTTCGACCTCTTTCCTCTATTTGGGGACGATTTGTGTGACGTGGCGAGGACGACTCTCTCTCTCTCCTGGTTTCTAGGAGCACAATAACAATCCGAGTTCGCCATTCTGTCGGCCTTCGCTCAAAGGCTGGTTTTTTTGCGCCTGCGGTATTTCTCTGCGTTTGAGTTGTAGTTTTTTTTATTTTCTGAAACCGTTTTTTACTACATATTCTGATTTATAAATTATAAAACTTGCAGGTAACGTAGCACAACTACCTGATCAAAAGACGTCAAACAACTCGTTACAAATATTACAAGAGATAGGATATTCATATCGCATCATTAGCTAGAGAAAAATGCAGCAAAACGACGAGTTGTCCCCTGGATACGACTATGAGCCACCAGGCGTAGATAGAAGAGCCCTCCCAAATTCACTTCAGCTCCACAACGGCGAACAATGTAAGTGATCAAACTTAAGTAGCTTTACACCATGCTAATTTTTCAGATACCGTTCGCGGATTGTTTGGCTCAGGCGGTTTCGGAGACGTATACCGCGTCAGAGATGGAAACGGTCGCCAGTATGCTGCGAAAATGTTTTCACGAAGAACTTACAATTATTCAAGCGATAGGGAACGGCAGGTTAGCAAATAAAGCTGAATTTCTTTATTGAATTTCATCAAGATTATTTAATGATTCCGGTCAAATGAACCAACTCTATTTTCAGGCATTCCAGAGAATCGCCCAAAATCCACACACCAACCTGTTATTGTTGCACTTGGCTGGACAGTTGATAAACCCACCGCCAGGTTATGCAGATGAAATTCTTATCACCGAAGCGTGTGGACCGTCTATCAAAGATATAATGTGAGTGAGTCTCTTCTTTTCGTAAGTATTTCTATAATTTGTTTTCAGGAGCTAGAGAAGATACTGGTGATGTAAAATCACCTACATTTTCTATGGACCACATCAAACAAATCTGTAGACAAATTAGAGAAGCTTTGTTCCACTTGGAAAAGCTTAAAATCTATCATTTGGACATCAAATCTGCCAACGTTACTTTTATGAGCACCGTCAAATACGATGTGGAAACGAACTTGGCTCAACCGAGCATCACAATGAATGATCTTCAAATTAAGATCATCGATTATGGAAACTCGTTCTTTCACTCGAAACCTGGAATCCCTAGACATCCTCTAATTGTCCAACCACAAAACTTGATATTTATCATAATAATTTTCAGGAATTCCTTACAACGAGAAGTCTGACGTGTGGTCCATGGGATGCCTGATGGGCGAAATGTGCATCGGAAAACCGATATTTATTTCCAAAATTGGCATCACTGAGACACAGAAACAACAATCGCAATTCGAGTTCATGGTTTCCAGAATGAATGCAACTATTCCAAGCGAAATGATAACAAAGTCTAGGCAAGGAAGGTAAGTACATATTTCTTTCTCAGTTTTTCATTGGGATTGTTCTAACAACCTTAGAATTCTCCTTACAGAAGATGTAAACTCAATCTGAGCTTCCTCGAGAACCGTAAAGAAAACAACCAGGATTCATTAATGAATTTGCTGCGTGAATACACGGATCTTCCAATGTTCGAATTTCTAAAATTCATGCTCATTTTCGATCCTACCGAACGACCATCCTTCGAGGAAGTCATCAAACAAAAGTTTCTCACCAACTTCTAATAACCTGATATTGCTGGTGAATTTCTTGTTTTACATTTTGTATGCATTGTAACCCTGTTTTTGTTGTTACCTGTTACAAATTCATTGTGTTCAACACATTTTGAATTAACCCCAGTCTACCGAATGCCCTGTGTCACTGAAGCACGTGTTATTCTCTGTGATCCCGTTCATTATGTTTTCTTAAAATACTTTTAGGATCATTCCTATTCACTTCAAAAGCACACTTCAATTTTTAAGCATCCTCACACTTTTTTCTCAAATCACGTTTTTCAATGATAAATGAATTTGATGATTTCAAAAATCAAGTTTCGTAATTTATATATTTGTCGAAGAAAGTTTCGAAAGGTATTCTTACATCGGCACTGCCAACAAACCAACCGAATAGGTTTCTATATCGAGTGAACAAAATTTGAAAAATTCCGAAGTCATCGTTTTCAACATTCATTCGAATTTATTGAATAGCGCTTTCCTTGCAATAAAAAAATTAGTTTTCATTATTACTTTTTTGTTTGTTCAACTACCGTACTCCCATTTCTTTAGAAACCTGAACTCATTCTTCAATTTTTTGAAATCCCGATTTTAGAACACTTGATTACCCAGACGGAATGCAAACAAAAAATCCTTTGTCTTCTTAATTTTGCCAGGTTGGTACATTTTAAAGTCAAAATACCCGACTGGACGATTAGTTTGAAAGTCAAAATAGTAGTTGTAGCTTTTTCTGGAAGAATGAAACAAAACCAAAAATTGGAAAGCACACATTTATATTTCAAAAAAGTGGACCAGGAATATGGGTGTCAAGATACTAACAGAAAAAGACGAGGTTTTAAAAATGACTCATACTATTGAGAATTTGAGAAAAAATGAACACACGGAAAAAGATACTAGTGTTATCAGTGGGATAAAAAACATTGTCACTGGAATAAGAATGTGTAATGGGCAAAAACGAAATTTTTTGAATTTAAACGGCTGTAAAAAACTCGTGGTTGAGGACTTCCTCAAATGATGGTCTCTTGGAAGGATCAAAAACTAGCATGGGCTTCAGAAGATCGAACAATGGCGAATCGTTTTCTTCGCGCATCAAACTCATCAATGAATCCTGGTTGTTAGCTTCTTTGCGATCATTGGCGAAGTTGAAGTCCAGGAGCATTTTCTGCAAACGAATTTTCAAGATTTACATAAGAGACAAAGAAATTTTAGTGCAAATATAATTTCTCACCCTCTTTGGTTAGATTCTTTGATCATTTCAATTGGAACGGATGCATTCATCATGGAAATCATGGTCTCAAAATGTGACTGCTCTTTCTGAGAGTCGGGAACAATATTATTCGAACTGAAAAGCAGTTTTCCAGTGTAAAGTTCAGCCATGAGGCATCCCATGGACCATACATCCGACTTTTCGTTGTGGGGAAGACCTGTAAATAAGGAATTATTGTTTGAACGCTTTCCGATACATTAAAAAAAAACAAAAACTAAACTAATCACCCATGAATACTTCTGGGGCACGCATGTTTCGCGGCTGGACGAGCATGACTGGTTTCGGGTATCCAGGTTTTGAGTGAGTCATCGAGCTTAAATAATCAATGACTTTGATGTCAAAATCACTCATTGTGATGATTGTTTGAGTCAAATTCAGATCCATTTCATACTTGACGTTGCTGGTAAAGACAACATTGGAAGTCTTGAGATCCAAGTGATAAAGGTTTAGTTTCTCCAAATGAAGCATCGCCTCTCCAATTTTTCTACCAATACGTTTGATGTTATCCATAGAGAACGAACATGGTGCGGTATTACCAGTTTCTCTTCTAGCTTCTGCAAAAATAGTTTATAGACGGATTATTGTTAAAATGAGATTTCAGATTCTTTGCAGATTTTTTTGCAGGTTCTTCCCAAGATCGAATGCAACCCAACTCACTGAGCAAGATTTCCTTGATAGATGGTCCGCACGCTTCTGTGATAATAACTTCATTTGTATAACCTGGTGGTGGATTCGTCAAACGGCCAACTGAATGCAACAATAACAGGTTGGGATGTGAGTTCTCTTTGATCTTACGGAGTGTCTGTAAATAGTTTTTCATCACCTGATTTGGATACCAAAAATATCTAAAATTATTTTACATTCAATTCGCAATGAGTGGAGTATGGTCTTTGAGAAATCACTTTTGCCGCAGATAGCTGACCATTTTGATCACGGACGCGGTAGGCAACAGAAAATCCACCGAGGCCGAACACGCCACGAACTTTGTCTGAAAAAATCAATAGATATTTCAACCAATTAAAGGTTGCTGACTCACATTCTTCGCCGGTCCATAGCTTCAGAACAGCGGGATGTACTTTTTTATCTAGGCCAATTGGCTCATACTCGTATCCAGGCGACTGTACACCATCTTTTTGCATTGCTGCTTCCAAGCTATCGGCATACAGCAATGTGGCATTTTTCTTAGCTGGTGATACCAGTGGTCTTTGCTGAAACGATTTTTTTTAAATCTTTATGACCCCAAAAGTTCACATCAATGAGTTACTTTGTTTTCAAAGTTTCCCTAACACTCACCATGATAATTTCGCTATTTTCCTTTTGAATATCTAATTGATATGTTCTCTAGTGTGAATTCAGTTCTGAAGCTTGTTTCCTGACGTCGCTTGAAAATTATAAAATTGATCAAGACAATTGCTGATAATTGCAGCGTTTTCAAAAATGTAAAGAAAAAATCCGTACTCTGGAAAAGGAAAAACGACTCTCGATGCATTACTGCGAGGCAAAGCCACACCAACACAAACACACAGACGACCCGCGCAAAGAGGAAAGAGGTCCACACAGTGTGGCGGGGTCCCCCGTCTAATTATGCCCCCTCTCTGTAATAGCGGGGATATATATCGTTCTCTAGCTCGTCCGGTTGCAATCAATAACACTTTTTTTTTAACATAGCGTGCCGGCTACGTTGTAGTTGTTTTTGGCCCCTCATCGTTACGTGAGGTCATCTCCAGACAGTGTCGTTCGACCACTTTCATCTAATTGCAGGATATTTGTGTGACGTGGCAAGAGTGTCGATGCAAACGCGCGCTACTGTTTTCCAGGTGCACAATAACAGTTTGCTGTTTAGGCGGTGCCCTTGTTTCCGCTACTCGTATTTTTCGGCTTTTGGGTTGTAGTCTGTGTCATTGTCTGTAACCGTTGTTTTGCATACTATTATGGTTTAAAACTTTTCAGTTTTGCAGACGCCGTAGTTCAACAAACTTCGGACCCAACACCATAATCAGACCAGAGAAGTCTAAAAAGATAAAAATTACAAGAGAAGAAAATTCAAACGACGGAGCAATAGCTAGAGAATACAGACTTACGGAAATCGTCAAGGTGAGTGTTGGGGAAATTTTGAAACTAAAAAAATTTTTTAACTCAAATACTTTTGCATTCATAAGCTTCCTGTTCAATTGGTGTTTTTTTTTCTCTTCTGCACAGAATATTAGGGCTAAAATGTATTCCACCGTTTTCAATGAAATCAATTTTCAGGTGAATCAGAATCATGAAGCAAGGCTGTTCGCCATCTACCCAAGAGGATCAGAAAAAAGTGAGAAGTTCACAAGGAATTTCAGATGAGAGGATGACACATCATAATGAGACAAATGCTACCGCATCGAATGAAATTTTAGAGAATCTATCAATGAGCAATAACGCTCAAGTAAGTTCTGAGGAAACTGTGATTAAATTGATTCCTAGAACGTTTGAAAATGATTTATTTCAGGAATCTTCATCGAATGCAGAAACCGCTTCAAATCCTTCTCTTCCCGTAGAATCTTCGACCACAATGCCAGAGATAAATCAATTATTGCCTGAACAAGGTGACGAGCCGGAGAATATTGACAACATTGGCTGTGTTCTGAAACTTTACAGTGGCGATGAGTGTAAGTTCACATCTTTCAATTGCTCAAAATATGTAGTTTAGCATTTTCAGTTGTTATTCGCGGAGTTTTTGGAAAAGGCCTTGCCAGTACCGTGTACAGCGTTGAACATCAAAGCCGTTTCAAATACGCGGCAAAATTGTTTGTTGAGAGAGATCCAGCAATCCCTACGTTTCACGAACTGGTGGTAAGAGAAACTTATTAATAGAATTACAAAGTGGCCTTATCAGAAAATTCCCAATCATTTTACCACATAATCAACTGTTAATCAATATATTGGTTGGTCAAAAATATTTTCTGGGATAGCAGGAAATGTGAATTAATACGAAAAAGATCTTCCTAAATCGCTCTAATTTTCGAAATCATTTTGATCATTCCAGTAAGGTGAGCAATAAGCTCAGTGTCTTCTCAAACGGATAGTACATAATTTCTTCTCAAACGGACAGTATCAATTGAAAAAAGAATTAGTTATGAGATGAAACAAATTGTATTTATTTTCAGGCTCTCCACCAAATTGCCATCGTCCCACACGTAAATTTACTGTTATTGCATTTGGCTGGAGTGTTGATTAATCCACTCCCGGGTTTCTCAGGAGAAGTCTTCATCACTGAAGAATGTGGACCGTCTATCAGGGACATTATGAAAAGTAAGTTCAGAGAAATAATTTGAATTAAGCCCTTGAATGAAGATGATCGTATTTTGGGGGGCTACGTTCGAAGCTTGGAATGGCAATTTTTGAATGAATTTATTTCAGGCGCCAGGCTAGCAACCAATGAGACACATTATCCTTCTTTCTGTTTGGAAAACGTTAGACAAATTGGTTGTCAAATTGGACGGGCAATGGCTCATTTGGAAAGACTGAAAATCTACTATCTTGATCTCAAGACGGATCATGTCGTTTTTCTCAAACCAAACAACCGCTATAGACTCCAAAGGAACCGAATCCAGTCAACAATTTATATGGAAGACATCAGGGTCAAAGTTATTGATTTTGGATGTTCGAAGAGCCATGAGGAGCCTGGAGAGGAGAAAGAATATAGATTAGTCCAGCCTACTCCCTTGCGGTCCCCAGAAGTATTTATGGGTGAGTTCATGCTTTGTATTAATTTTTATCATTGTCTCAAACTCGGACAGTTGAATCTCAGATTTGTATTCAATGATTTTGCTTTTTCAAAAAATGTTATTTGTTTTCAGGACTTCCATATAACGAAACATCCGACGTCTGGTCGATGGGATGTCTTCTCGGCCAGATGTTCACTGGATATTACATCTTCTATCCCACAAGTGGCACAACTGAACAAGAAAAAATTCAGAGCCAGTTTGAGTGCACTTTCAACAGATTGAGTGAACTCTTACCAATGAAAATGATTCAGGAGTCTCAACGAGGAGGGTGAGAAATTGTTTCCTGTTCTTTGTAAATAAAGCTTACCAATGAGTTTCAGACACTGCACGCTCAACTACAACTTCTACACTCAGCGCAGAGCATTTAATAGGGATCACTTGCTCAATATCATTCGCAAGGACGCGGACAGGCCAGTCTACGAACTGCTGGAGTTTATGCTCCGTTGGGATCCTTCCAGAAGGCCATCATTTGACTACGTCCTTTATCACAAGTTCTTCAGAAACATCTAACCCCATTTCTCATCTTATTCCATCAATTCCCAAAAGTTCTCGCCGTTCCTCATGTTCCTACAAGTTTTTCACCATTCGTTGCTCCTTGCTTTTAGAACAATTCAGCAGTTGGAAAGTTCCACGTGTCTAACACATTACCGATTTCACATGCCACTGAGTTTTGTAGTATTCAACACTCTTGCTTCTCAATACGCAGTCTAATGTTCCTTTATTTTGTAACTGAAATACTTGTTTTCTCTGTGATCACACCGTTTTTTCTCTGTGATCACACCAATGCCCTGTTTTTATTCGTTTCATACCAATTTCACGGTGTTCAGTTCGTTTTTGTACGGAAAATTGTGTTTTACTTCTTATGCCACATAATTCTTTCTTTGCCTGTTCTACACATCCCTTCTCCGCAACTTGACTTTTAAAAGCACGTGGTTTTGCTCTCAAGCATGCCAACATCATTTTCATATTCCACATTGTTAATACCTTAATGAATGTGATGATTTAAAAGTTCGAAACCAATTTTGCTTTCTCGGTTTTCAAAAATAATTGAAAAATGAGATCCGATCTCTCTCTAGCACGAGTGAGTACGTTAGTTGAGCAATCAAAAAACGTATGAAACAACAAATGTGAGTTTAAATGCGAGGAAGCCGTTGATAACAAAAGTCAGTTTTTTTCTTCCTGCTGTGCGATTTATTCCTTACAGATCATAACTGCTTTTGTGCAGATGAAGATTGTGTAGCCTCTGATCAATAACTTCCTCCTCGTCGATGACCTTCACCCATGACAAAAATAAAAAGTGCTGACCACATATTGTGTGATGAATGTTTTCCTGATAGATTTTTTTCATCAAGTGTTTCAAGAACTTCTGAAAAAGCGACGCTTCAAATTCTGAACTTTTTTATAGGAAAGACATTTACTATTGACATCAAAATCACGTTTCGGGGTCAGAATATTATTTGTACCTTTATCGCCGGAGAATCAATGAAACAAAACTAGAGCTGTGTAAGCATCAAATTCGTTTATTATTCAAGAAAGTGAATTTCAAATAAAAGTGTCGTGATGCTTAAAAATTGTCGTGTGCTTTTAAAGTGAATGGAAATGATCCTAATAAAATTTCAAGAAAAGAACAGGATCACAAAGTAACACGGTGAATTGGGTAGACTGGGTTTCAGATAGAAATGTGTTGAACACAATTAATTACGGGTAACAAAAAAACCAGGTGAAGTTTTTTAAAAAATGCATTAAAAAATGGAGAATGGAGCGAATTCACGAACAAACTCAGCTTAGAAGTTTGTGAGGAATTCGTGCTCGATCACTTTCTCAAATGATGGCAGGATCAAACTTGAGAGCGAATTTGAGGAACTCGAACAGTGGAAGGTCCGTGTCGTCACGCATAAATTCCATCAAGTAATCTTGATTGTTATTTCCTTCGCGGTTATTGTTGACTTCTTTGTAATCATTGAGGAAGTCGAAATTGAGGGAGCATTTTCTGAAAACAACATTCCAAGAATATATATTTGCAAAAAAAACTTCTTACCCTCTTTGCTTAGATTCTTCAAGCGTTTCTCTTGAAATGGTCGCATTCATTCTGAAGATCATCATCTCAAATTGTGACTGTTGTATTTCAAGCTGAGTGTCGCCTTTTCTCGAGTTGAACAGCACTCCACCGATGGCCGATCCGATTGGGCGATCAGGCATCCATAGGACCAGACATCCGTCTTTTTGTTGTAGGGAAGACCTGAGAACAAAGGAAATTTATTTGGGAGATCTAGAAAGTATTTCAAAACGGTTTCAATCGAACTAAAAGTTTTTTAAAAAACCCACCCATAAACACTTCTGAGGCACGCATGTTTTGCGGTTGGACCAGTTTGACTCCTTCCGGGTTTCCAGATTCAGAGTGAGCCAGCGAATTTCCATAATCAATGACTTTAATATCAAAATCACTCATTGAGATAATCGCGTGGGTCAAACTCGTATCCATTTCATACTTGAAGTTTCTCGAAAACGCGACATTGGAAGCCTTGAGGTCTAAATGAAAAATCTTGAGTTTTTCCAAATGGAGCATTGCGTCTCCGATTTGCTTTCCAATACGTTTGATATTATCCATAGAGAACGAACACAATTTGGTATTTCCAGTTTCAATTCTAGCCTCTGGAAAAAAAAAACTTTAAAAATAGGTTATCGTTGAAATATAATCTCAAAACTTTCTCAGATTCTTCTAACAATCCTATCAAAGTCATTGTACCAAACTTACTTGTCATAATTTCTCTGATAGATGGTCCGCATGCTTCTGTTATAATAACTTCGTCTGTATATCCTGGCGGTGGATTCTTCAACATACCAACTGAATACAGCAACAATAAATTATTGTGTGGGTTCTCTCGAATTTTACGGAGCGCCTGTATAACAATTATTTCATCTGATCATTGTTTCAGGAAAAATGGTCTTACTTTCATCTCACGCTGAGTTGAGTATGGTCTAGTCGAAATGACTTTCGCAGTCAATTGTTGACCATTCTGATCACGTAAACAACACAGAATCCACCTAAGCCGAACACTCCACGAACTTTATCTGAAAATTGAATAAAGGGATTGAAATTAGCTAGAAGTTGCGAACTCACATTCTTCAAATGTTCGTAGCTTCAGAACAGCGGGATGAGCTTTTTTATCCAGGTCAACTGGCTCATAGTCATATCCTGGTGATTTCTGACCTTCCTGCTGCAACGCTGCCTCTCAGCTATTGGCATAAGGCAATGTATTTTTCTTGGGTGCTACCAGTGGTCTCTGCTGAAACGAATAGTTGTGTTTTCTTTTATTCGATTTGTTGAGTTTAATGAACTGGCCAGAGATAGCACAAGAAAAACGGTATTCATGGCCTATTCACGGATTTTTAAGTCTATCAATTTTGCGTTTCACGGATTCCGTTAAAAACATTTTATGCCCAGCCATGTTCATGACACAAAAAATTTAGTTTTGTAAAAAACTTTGATTTCGAAATCTTCCTCACCATGATTATATCGCTATTTTTGGTCTTGATTCTATGATCTATACTGCTGCGTCAAATGTATTTATATCATCTCTAGTTAATATGTATTGATGGTGTTGAAGCTTGTGTTTTCCAAGTCGCCTGAAAATTATATTTTTATCAAACAATCGCTGATAATTGCAGCGTTTACAAACATAAAAAAAAAGAAATACGAACTTGGGAAAAGGAGAAACTAATATGTAAATGGAACACCGCGAGACAACCGAAAGAATGGCGCAGCCACACAGGCAAATACACAGACGGCCCGCGCAAAGAGGAAAGAGGTCCACACAGTGTGGCGGGGTCCCCCGTCTAATTATGGGGCACCTCTGTGTTACGGCGGGGTCGTCTATCGTTCTCCTAGCTAGTTTGATCCGGTTGCAATCAATAACTATTATTTTAACACAGCGTGCTGACTACGTTGTAGTTGTTTTTGGCCCCTCATCGTTACATGGGGCCATCTCTACACAGTGTCGTTCGAGTGACCTCTTCAGTGGGCCTTCTGTATGACGCGGCAAGAGTGTCTATGCAAAGGCGCGCTACTGTTTTCCAGGTGCACAATAACAATTCGAGGTTGCCATTCAGTTCGCCGCCTCTCAACAGTGCCTTGTTTTGCTCGCGTTGTACTTTTCTGCGTTCGAATTGCTGTTTTTTGTATTGCTAAAAACCGTTAATTCGCAAATTGTTTGATTCTATAAATTTTCCATTTTCAGGCGAACAAAACTTAATCCCATCATCATAATCAGACCTCAGGAAGTCTCAAAACTCAAAAAAATTACAAGAGATAAAAAATACACGTTGGATACTTATCAAGAGAATAAAGAATCAAGAGAATCAAGAGAATAAAGTGAGTGCTGAGCAAATTTATAAATGCTAAAAACAGCATTACGCTTGAATAGCTTTTTTCAATCAGATTTCTGTAAAAATCGAGGGTTTTTTCACTTTTTTTCGTACCAAACTTTACCCGAGAAAGACTGCGATGGTTTTTGATGAGTTCAATTTTCAGGTGGGTCGCAGACATGAAGCGTGGTCTATCGCCTTCATCCCCAGAGGACCATAAAAAGATCCGGAGTTCCCAAGAAACTTCAGATGAAAGTGCTCATCACGATGAGAGAATGGCTACAACTTCAAATAAGAATCCAGAGAATCCATCATCCAGTAATAACGCTCCGGTGAGTTTTGGATAAACTTCGAAAAAAAACGAGCTCGGGAAAGTTGAAAATGATTGATTTCAGAAGTCTATAGCTGATACAGCATCCACTGGAAATCCTTCTTTCCCCGTAAAGTCGCTGACCTCGACACAAGAAATGAATCAGTCTCCAGGATATGCTTATGAGCCTCCGAATGTTGACAAGGCTAACCATCCCGATGTTCTTGAGCTGATTACGGGAGAGAAGTGTAAGTACACAAATTTCAATTGATCAAGATATATAGTTTAACACTTTCAGTTTTTGTTCGAGGAGTTTTCGGTAATGGCGGTTTCTGCACCGTCTTCAGGGCCAGGGATCAAAATAATATCCAGTACGCCGCAAAACTGATTGCTGAGAGAATTCCGGAATACCCTACATATTACGAGTTGCTGGTAAGAGAAACTTGTCGAATCCGAAACTTGTCGAAAGCTAGAAAGAAAAGAGATTGTTTTGAATCGGTCATTAAGAAACAAAACATTTTCATTGCAGTTTTAAGCAGAAATAATATTCTAGTTGCAACAAAAGAATTCGATTAGGAGATAAAACGAGATAAATTTATTTTCAGGCTCATGAGAAAATATTGCACAATCCGCACCAAAACTTGATTTCGTTCGTTGTGAATGGAATGTTGGCAGGTCCACCGCCAGGATTCACAGGCGAAATCATCGTGACAGAAGGCTGCGGACCGTCGCTCAGGAACATCATGAAAAGAAAGTTGGAAAAAATAGCTTAAAGAATTCTCGGAATTAAAACAATTGTATTTTCTGGGCTCCCCGCTGCTGGAAATTACAATAATTGATTGAATGCTTATTTCAGGAGCCAGACAAGATACCAATAAGACCTATTATCCTTCGTTTTGCATGGAAAACATCAGACACATTGGAAGCCAGATTGCAAAAGCAATGGCCCATTTGGAAAGCCTGAAAATCTTTCATCTTGATCTCAAGGCTGGAAACGTCTTTGTTAAACCCGACATCCAATACACACTCGATGGGGACGATATTCAGCCAACTATTAATATGGATGACACTGGCATTAAAGTCATTGACTTGGGAAATTCGGCGAGCCATTGGGAGCCTTGGGAGGAGAAGAAATGGCGCAGCGTACAACCTCCTGCTTTACGGTCGCCAGAAGTGATGATGGGTAAGTGCATATTTTGATTAATTTCTACTACTGGATCAAACTGTGACAGTTGAATCCCAAATTTGTATCGAATCGATTTTGCAGATTCTATAAATTACCTCCATTTTCAGGCCTTCCCTATAATGAAAAGTCTGATGTGTGGTCGATGGGATGCCTGCTCGCTGAAATGTTTGTTGGACAATTCATCTTCTACCCCACAAGTGGCACTACCGAGAAAGAGACTAACCAAAGTCAATTTGAGCTCACTGCCTCCAGACTGAAACACGCCGTTCCGATTAGAATGATTCAAGAATCCCAGAGAGGAGGGTGAGTTAATTATTTTTTTTTTTGCTCTTTGAAACGTGAAAACAGAGCTTATGATTGGTTTTCAGACATTGTGAGCTCGACTATAGATTCTTGAACCAGCGCCCACCAAACAATAGGGATCAGTTGATGAATATCATGAGAGAAGAAGCCGACATTCCTCTCTACCACCTGTTGCAATTTATGCTCATCATTGATCCCAACGAAAGACCGTCATTTGAGGACGTCGTTCACCACGATTTCTTCGAAGGCATCTAAAATCATTTTCCTTCACTTTCCAGCAATAGTTGTTTTCTGGTTAATAGTTACCCGTTATAATTTTTGTGTTGAAAAAGTTCTGTTACAAACCCAGTTCCCCAAACTCCTGTATCACTGAAATTCAAGGTTTTCACACTATTCTTCCAGTACCCAATTTTTTGCATTCCCTTTGTTACTGAAACAAATAGTTTCATTCTGACCCCATCCTTCTGTTTTCTTGAAATTTTATTTGGATTGGGACATACTTTAAAAGCACCAGTTAATTTTGAAGCATCCCCACACTTTTTCAACATCTTTTTTGGCTTATAAAGGAATATGATGCCTTCAAAGATCTTGTTTTGTTTCATTGATTTTCCTTTAAAAAACGTTGCGATAGGTATTCTGACTCCTAAACGCCGTTTTGGTGCTAATGATTAATTTTTATTCTATTTGGAGTAAGTTGAACTATTAAAGGCGGGGGGACATAAAAAAATAATGTTCTCGAAATTCCGTTCAAAGATGCCCCTCGAGGAGTTGAACTTGTGAGGGCGATGATTGAGGGTGCGACGCCGCTACCGACTGAGCCACGCGGGCAAAGAGAAAGCGCACGCCCGTTTGCATACATAAAGGCAAAGACGACAGCTGTACGCAGAGTGACATTAAGCGTTGTACACCATGACGGTAGAATGCATACTCTAGCTACAAAAAAACTACGAAAAATCTCCTGTCCCCCCACCTTTAAGTGTGCTGTCTTTGAATGTTCAGGTTACCAAAGTCTTAAAAGCAACATTTTTTATCAGAGGCTTTTTAACGATGAGAAAATGGGAGTCAAAGCCACAGAAGTTCAAGACACCAAAGTTTATTGCTAAAATTTCAAAAAGCAATTATGATAACAAATACTTTTCAAGGTTCTCGAACGTTAATCTTGAAAACTTCAAGACATTCAAACAGAGTGGCTCTTACTTTTCGTGTTTCCATTTTGTTGTCTTTTTCAGTTCTTTCATTTTCTTCTTTTACAGTCGCGTCGTAATAAAACTACTTTTTTTCTAGAAATTCCGTTTTCATTGAAGTACATCCAAATTTTATTGAGGTACCTTCAAAAAGAATGTTTCGAATTCACAATTTGTATGTGATCTTTCATTCTGAAAGTTTCCCAGCTCGTTTGTCATGTCGGTATCGCCCAGAAAACTCATCCCACTATTTTACTGAAAATGAAATTGAAGTAGTTTCGGATAATCTGCCAAACACAACATATTATTTGAAATGTTTCCTCGGTCATGAATAGAACAGAAACTATGAAACATCATAAAACATTCCAGTTTACTCACGAGCTCCTAATGAATCAGATTGACACATATGTGCCACTTCTTAAAGGATAGACAACATGGAGTTTAGGAGTGAGAACACTTTTCAAAAACTTTTTTTAAACAAAAAATCAGAGAAGCAAACCGAGAGTTTTGAAAGCAAATAATTTATTGATAACTCAAAAAAGGGGATTTCAAAATTTGTGTGGATGCTTTCAAAGTTCAAGTGTGCTTCTAAAAGTTTCGAGAATAAAATGATGAGATCACATAGAAAACGGTTGTTTCAGTGACACGGGAGATTCAGTAGACGGGGTTTGAATTAAAGATGTGTTGGACACAATGAATTCGTAACAGGTAAACAAAAAACCAGGTAGAAAGCATGAAAAATGGACAAAGGCTGGCTTTGAATAGAAATGTGAGCTTAGAAGTTTGTAAGAAACTCGTGGTTGAGAAGTTCCTCGAATGATGGTCTCTCGGCAGGATTGAAAAACGAATTGCAGAAACTGGAACAATGGTAAATCGCTTTCCTCACGCATCAAATTCATCAGCAAGTCTTGTTCGCTGTTTCCTTCACGATTGTTGAGGAAATTGAAATCGAGGTTGCATCTTCTGCAAGCAAAGTTCTGAGTTTTTTGAATCAGTTTCAAAGGAAAAAAAAATCTTACCTTCCTCGTCTCGACATCTCCATCAATTCATCTGGAACGGTCGCATTCATTCTAGACACCATCAACTCAAATTGGGATTGTTGTCTTTCGGCCTGAGTGACGCCTAATCTCGCAATAAAAAGCACTCTTCCAATGTACAACTCGCCCATCAGGCATCCCATGGACCACACGTCGGACTTCTCGTTGTGGGGAATTCCTGAAAGAATTTATATAATCGATATTTAATGAATATTCAAAATTGTATTATCACATCTGGATAGTTTTACAGTTTGAACTTACCCATGAAAATTTCGGGTGCACGCAAGTTCTGTGGTTGAACCACCGTATGGCGTCTTTTGATTCCAGGAATCCAGTGAGACGAAGAATTTCCATAATCAATGATCTTAATTCTGAGGTCACTCATTGTGATGATCGGTTGAGCCAAGTTCGCATCCACTTCATATTTGACGGTGTTCATAAAAGTTACATTGGCCGCTTTGAGGTCCAAATGATAAATGTTAAGATTCTCCAAATGCAACAATCCCTCTCCAATTTGTCTACCAATCTGTTTGATATCGTCCGTTGAGAATGATGGCAAACGGAAATTGCCGACATCTCCTCTAGCTCCTGGAAAAAACAGTTTATAGAACCATTATCCTGTTCAACTTTAAGATTTCAGATTTTTCAGAAATAGTCATATCAGACTCATACAATGTGACTCACTCATCATAATATCTTTGATCGACGGTCCACACGCTTCAGTGATAATAACTTCATCTGTGTAACCTTGCGGTGGATTCATCAACTCTCCGGCCAAATGCAACGATAGCAGGTTTGTATGTGGGTTTTGGACAATTTTGTGATATGCCTGAAAATGAAATTGAGTTTATTTTACCTTAATCATCAAATGACCTTGATGAAGTTGACTAAAACCATTCAGCTGTTGTTTTTTATACAACTGTTCAGAAAACTTTCATTTAGAACCCCTGTAACTCAAATTCAACCAGTTTCGCTTACCTCCAGCTCGTGACGACTCGAATAACGATTAGCTCTTTGTGCAAGAACTTTAGCCGCGTATTGGTAACCATTGCGATCTCTGACGCGGTAAACGACACTGAAACCGCCTCGGCCGAACAATCCACGAACGTTATCTGTAAAATTGGGTATAATGTTAATCAATTTGAATCTGTTTACTCACATTGTTCGCCGTTGCGAAGTTCGAGTGATGCGGGATGGAATCTTAGATCCACATTGACTGGCTCATAGGCATATCCCGGGGACTGTTGGTCGTTTTGTTGCATTCTTTTATCTCTGTGATCCGATGCGGATATTTTTGATCTTTTGTAAATAATCTGCAGTTTTTTGACGTCTCTCGGTCAGGATGTGACGTTGAGGTGAACGTTTTTTAAGCTACGTCACCTGCAAAATCGATGATTGATAATCCAGAATGGCACGCAAAAAAATGGTCTCAGAAATAAAGAGAAAAATCTGCAACTAGAACTCATAAAAACAACGCGCTCAAGGAAGGACACCATTGAGCGGCGGCCGACAGAATAGCGAACTATTCTTGCCACGTCACACAGATGTTCTGTTATGCGATGAGGCCCGTGTGTTGTAACGGTAGGGCGCGTTTGCATACACACAGATAGCCCGCGAAAAGGACCGGCGGAATAGCATAGACACACAGACGCATAGAGAACCCGTGCGCGCGGCCCAGGTGGCAAGAGGGCAACGACACTGTATGGGGACGGCCCCCTGAATCCCTGTGTTAACGATGAGCAAGTGGTCCGTCGATCGTGGAGATGACCCTGTGTAGGACCGATTGCCTTTTATAGGTCGCATTCAATACTTTTTTGCAGTTCTCTGTGCGTAATGTAGCCCAATTGTTTTTAGTTTTCTTCTGGTCTCGGGTCGTCTTCCTGCTGTTCCATGTTCTTGTTTTCTTTTTCTTCTTGCTCTAGTTAGATTTCTCTTTACATCTTGTGTTTTTCACTACTCTGCGTACCGTATTTCCTGCAGAAATATTTCAATGATACTGTAAAAATTTGATTTGCAGGCGTTGTAAGATAATAATGAAACGCTCTCATCCACCGTCACCACAATCGGACCCAAAGAAGTCCCAAAACTCTTCTGCAACTTCACAAGAGAAAAACCTAGAGATACCATCGAGACGTGATAATGAAGAAGTGAGTTTTGATAGAAATTTTAATACATAAGTTCCTGCTAAAAATATATCATCTAATTTCAGAATACCCAACCCGGATCAGTTATTTCTTATAATGATCCTCAAGAGCACAATTTGCAAATGCTAATGCAACAAAACGAGCCCCGTGGATTATCTATTACTCCAAGAGAGTCTGAACCGAGCAGTTCGCAGATCGTAATGCGACAAAACGAGCCACGTGGATCATCTTTTACTGAGAATGAGCCTCAGCTTGACAATTCACCAATGGTAACAGAGCAAGACCGACAAGCGTCGCCTGGATACGCCTATGAGCCATCGGGCGTGAACAGACGATCTCTTCCAGTCCAACTACAGCTACTCAGTGGCCAAACATGTGAGTGTTACAGCGTAATCTAAATAATTTGAATTAATAAACATAATTTTTCAGATAAAGTCCGTGGCTTGTTCGGCGAAGGAACCTTCTGTACAGTATATCGTGTGAGAGACAAGAATGGTCTCCATCTTGCAGCGAAAGTTCTCAAGTTGCGTAACAATGCCTATCCAGTGGAGTGTGAGCTGAATGTAAGAGTCCTTTGTAAATTCAATGATTTGGAGGAGAGATTTTTTGCAGTTCGAAAGTGTTTATGAAATTTTAACTCTAGATTGGTTAAATCCGAGTAATTATTTATTATGATTTCAGGCTTTCCAAAAAATCTCCACCCACCCACATGACAACTTATTGTCGCTTCATTACCTTGGAATTCTGGCAAGCCCACCAGCTCTACACAAATCGGAAGTTCTGATTACACCTGCCTGCGGACCTTCCATTGAGCACATTTTATCAGGTAAGCTGGGGAAAGTGAAAATTTCACGAAAACTTACAAATGTTCACATTTTGTTTTCCTGAAATGTGTTTTATGTTTATATTGTCGATTTTTGATTTATTTCCATTTTCAGAAGCAAGTCGCGAATACACACATATGACTGAGCCTCGTTTTGATATGAGTAATATCAAAATTATTGGAAGACAGATTGGATTGGCGATGCGCCACTTGGAGCACCTTCAAATATTTCATTTAGATTTGAAGACAGCAAATATTGTCTTCACGAGCGATGTAACATACGCTGTCGAACAAAATCCTATCCATCCAGTCATCACAATGAGTTATATTCACGTGAAAGTTATTGATTATGGCAATTCTCTGAATCACACGTATCCTGGCTTCGAACAGCCATTCGCCATTGTTCAATCGCTACACGTTCGTGCGCCAGAGATCATAATGGGTGAGTTGAATGCTTTATGATCCTAATAGCTCTTCTAAATAAATAAAGTCAAACTTTTTCTCATTTTCAGGCATTAGGCACAGCGCGAAATCGGACGTCTGGTCAATGGCCTGCATCATGACTGAAATGTACACAGGAAAGGATTTGTTCACATGGATCCAGGGTCTTGACGCGCAACAGCTACAGCAGCTACATTTTGTAAAGTTAGTTTCATTTATCGATGACACCATCCCACAAGAAATGATTGATGAATCCCAGAGAGGAAGGTAAGTTATCAAATTTTTTCTCAAAAACTATTTTTCTAGAAAATACAATCATTCATTTTCAGACGCTCCTCCGTCAATCTTGATTTCATAAACCGTGAACCAGACGGAACGAATATTCCTTGATGAATTTGATGAGGGAAGAAGACGACTTTCCATTATTCGGCCTTCTGAACTTCATGTTCGTTTTTGACCCTATCAGAAGACCATCCTTCGAGGACGTCATCAATCATAATTTTTTTGCTGACGCGTAATTTGACTCCTACCCACTTTTCTTCTATTTGCCTGTCCCAATTTCGGTGTTTAACACCTCAGTACATTTTTTACGTTTTATTTCAACCTGTTACTGTTTTTCACGTGGTTTTCTATATGTCTCCCGAGTTCTTATTTCCAAGTCTGCATGACTCTCATTTTAACTGCACGTCTTACTTTGTTAGCACCCCTGTTACCAAACTATTCTTTACTTTTCGAATTTTTAATAAATCTGGTGCAACAGTTCTGTTTCATATTTCAAAAAAATTGTTACAAATTGAAAAAGTCATGAATCGTGAGAAAGCAATCTGAAGAGTATATCAAATAACATTTTTTCATCGAAAAAATTTAAAAAATACTTTTTATCAATTTTTAAGTTTGAAACAATAGCGATAAAATTTCAATTTTAAATAGGGTTACAAAATTTGTAGAAATTAATATTTAAAATGTCTTACGAAATTTTTTAAATCTGAAATTTTTGCGAGCATTCAGTATTTTCTGGTGTTGTTATGCTCCAAGCCAGTCGTTCCATTGCATTACAACATCATCGTTATTGCTTGAAAGACGATCAATGAAATACTCGAAGTGTGATTTTATTTTCTCCACATTGGGGCTGGTATTAGTGTTTCTACAAAAAATTACTTGTCAGATGATGTTCGTTTACATTAAATTCAAAAACTTACATGCCATTCAGCTTGCATTGGATTTCTTTTTTCAGAAAGTCATTCTTGCTGATGACTTCTGTTAAAAGTTGACTGAACTTGTTCCTTTCTTGAAATCTGAAATCATTATTCAGCTCATGTTTTTTCACGCGGCAACCCGGTCTGTTTGTACAGAAGGTGATTTCATCGATTTTTTTTTCAAAAATTTTTTTTCAAAAAAGGAAAATTTTTTAACTGGATATCATAACATTTTCCCCTAACTTAAAAATCTCAACATTTGATTGAAAAGTTTTTCAACTGTGAGAGGCTGGCCGTCCCAGGCCGTTGCAGGTATGATTTTTTTCTGACTGTTTGATAGTACAGCACTTCACAAAATGATACCATCCGTTTGTACGGAAACACCTATTCAGGTCAAAGTTAGTAAAAAGTTGTCAACATGAAAAATAAAGGTCTCCCTACAAAACCTACTTGCAAAACATTTAGAGCCATCAACGTGACGCGGAAATGAGAAAATGGAAAAATTCCGAAAATCACGTTTTGGCCAATCCACAAAATGATATTTCCACTCTGAAAATGTCAGATTTTGGAGATGTTGAAGCTCTGCTGCCACTTTTTGAAGGCCTGATTTTCAAGAATTTTAAGATTCTAATCCTCATACACAGAGACTCTCATACAAGATTACTGAATTCCGGATTCCGGATGCCAGATTTCCGGGCTTCCGGATTCCGTAAACTGGATTTTCGGATTCAAAATACCGTATTCCGGATATTTGGATTCTGGGTTTTCGTGTACTGAATCGTGCGTGACGGATTTGGAGTATATCTTACGGATTCAGTGTTCCGGATTCCGGATTTAGAATTCATGTTTCCGGATTAGCTTCCGGAATGAGTTCAAACGTCCGGAGAATCTGTAATTCCGGTTTTCTTGACAAATGAGAACTTTAGGATGTTTTATCATTTTGTGGATCGGCCGAAACGTGATTTTCGGAATTTTTCCGGTTTCTTGTTTCCAAGGCACGTTGATGGCTCTAAATGTTCTGCACGTAGGTTTTGAAGGGAGACCTTCATTTTCCATGTTGACACCTTTGTACGAACATTGACCTAAATAGGTGCCTCAGTACAAACTGGGGGTGGAATTTTCATTATGTGGAGCACTGTAGTTTTTTTATTACCTTTGGCCATTGCAAAACTAAACGTGAAACTCAGAAACATGGAATGCTCACTTTTCTTGATTAGAAGCAATTGTCATTTTTTCTATTTGTATCTTCAAGGTTGCATTCTCTTCTTCAATTCTCAACAAAACTTTAGCATTCGCTGAATTTTTAGCATTTCTCTCGTTTTCAATTTGCATTCGATAGCATTCCAAATTCTTCCTGAAATGGTTAATAACAACCCGATTGAAAATTGTAACTGACCGTTTTTCCATGTCAATTTGCTGTTTAGCTTTCTCAATAAATACAGCAGTTTCACTTCTGAAAACAAACAGAAAAACTACAAAAATTGACGTTTCATACCTCTCAGCTTGCAACTGCTCATCGAATTTTTCCTGTTGAGCGTGAATATAATTTTTATAACGTTCCAACTCCAATTCCAAGTTTTTAATTTGCATCTCTTGCCTGAAAGCTCTAATTCTAAAAAAATAAAAAAATGAATTAAAACTAACATCAGATTTGGATTAGTCCCGTTTTGCAACGCATTGAACATCATATACGTTCTATCTAAAAAATACAAAAGGTAAAATAAAAAAGCAATCAATGAACGAGTGATAGTGATGACTTGGCGCCGCTTGTGTACACTTTGAAGCATCTGCGTTTTTAGGACTCTTCCTGCCATTCCTTATCTGTGTGTGTGTGTGTAAACTATCAACTTTCGAACTAGTCTCAACCATATTGCGATTTCCGGAAACACATCTATAAAGTTTCATACAATTGCACAAATTACATAATAAAATGATTGAAGTAATTGGAGAAACTGAAACAATGTCATTCCAGCTTTTCGGAACAATGATGATTTGATAAAAAATTGGACTCTTTAGTTCAGCTCCTCTCTTTTTCGCAGGCAGTTTTACAAGATTCTTCTTTAACAAGTGATTCAGATTACTTTGTTGAAGGGAGTGATGCCAATGGCGTGATGGCGTAATTGGTCTGGAGCTTTCCATTCGAAAATACTCCATTTGCGTCATATGGGGTTATAAACGTCTGTCTTGAAAGCTCGAGGTTTCGGAAATGTTAACTTCTTGAAAAATATACAGATTCACATAGAAACAAAGGAAAAATTCTGAAAAAAAACCGAATTCCGAAAAATCTCTTCAAAGACAAAAATCTCAGTTTTCGTCCGTTTTTAGAAACTCCTTGAAAGTTCTGATATCTTTCTTCAAATCCAAGACAAAACTGTTGAAATTTCGCTTGTTCTTTCCGAACACTTTTTTAGAGCTGACCCAGAATTTTACGTTTTGGCGGTAATTCAAAAGTTTCGATTTTCACCTTTTGAAGCGATTTTTCGTAGGTTTTGCTAACTTAGCTTTGTTGCTCTGTATATTTGCAATATAGGGAATTTTAACAATTTTTTCTTCTAATAACAGTCAGCTGGAAATCTTTAAAAAAACTTAAAATAGTTTTCTCAACCTCAATACGAGCACTGAAATGTCTGAAATAATTCAATTCGATGTTCTGAAACACCCAATATTTCATGTAAATTACTTTTATTTCAATATACAGGGTGGATACTGAATACTCAAGACATCATAACTCGTTTGAAAAACATTGAAAATTGTTGAAATTTTAACATCAGGAATCATCGTAGAATCAAAGAGAACCTTCATTTCTATTTCAAAACGCATAAATTTCCATTGATTTTTTCCAGGTCGAAGCCTGAACGACCGATAGCGATAGATCTCTTCATCATCGGAAGCGCACGGAGGTGAAGCCGTCGGAGAACATCTTCAATGGCCTCAAAGGGTGGAACACGATCTTGACCACCGAATCCGCTGAATCGAACATTGTTGGTTCATCCCTAAAAATGATAATTAATTTTATGATAAAGAAGCATCGTCTATAATTTTTTTTGCTAATCTTACAAAAACCTATGGTTCTGATTCGTTCCGCGCTCAAAATTTCAAACTAAATTATCTTATTAATAAATTTTGGCTTAATCGAATCTACACTTTTACTGGTTTTGCGCAAATTGGAACCACGTCAAACTCAACAACCTCTTGATCGTAGATCGACTGGTCGGAAGCAACGAAAGCAGCGAATGCCATAATGCAGACGAAGAGCAGGAATTGGACCATTGCTCGGACGGCTGTAGTCAGCTATCAACGAAACAATAGAGAATGGATATTGAGGGAAAATTGGCTTGGTTTTTATATTTTCAGATTTGACTGATATAGTGTTAAAGATTGGGAGACATTACGCATTTTACGAGTTGGGCGGAGTTTTCTGGATATCTAGATTAGCTAGAAATAACAAAACTTACCTGGTGGCACTACAAATATGTGGGCGACACGTATTATTTGCAAGAAAAAAGGTCCAGACCCCGCACTTGCGCAATAGATTCCTGAAAAATTGGTTTCTGCGTGGAATCATATAGATCCAAAATTAAAATTGTTGAATTACGTTCTGGAGAAGAAGTTTGAAACTATAGAAAATAAAAGATGAGCTTTCAATTGTACGAAATCATGTATCCTGATAGAACAGAGAAACAAACTCGATGGTAATGATGGTATTGAATTCCCTGAAATAAATAAAAATCATTGAAAAAACATTAAAAATTGAAAAAGGACGATGATTTTTCATGATTTTTTGAGAAAGTCTGGAAAGGAAGAAGGTAAAAACATTTTGGGGCTGAAAGTTCAAAACAATATTTGATTGGTCACCGAAAAAGAGTTTGGCAAAATTTGTTTTGGGTAGAGAAGTGTGGGGGTGCAACGATAACAACCGTGACATTTTTTGTGTAACAACGAGACGACCACTTGCGCATGTCTGCATCTCTCGTGATTGAACGCTCTCTCGTTTTTTCTTATTCATTTCCGCAAAAGGCAATTTTGCACCCTTTTTTCTGGTGTGTTTTCACCCTCATTAATTGAAATTATTTGTTTTAATTTGGCGCATCCTTGGCGCATCCTTAACAGTAACCCGAAAATAAAAATTTGCATAAACCCCATGATATGATATGTTTTCCAGACCAGAATTTCCCGCTGATTACGAATATAGTGGACTTTCTCGATAATGGACTTTTTCTCTCTGATTTTTTTTACCAAGATTTGTACTTTCTCGAGTGTCACAGGGCCTTTGTGTCTTGAAGATTTGTCACCATCTTGGGCCTTTCTGTGGTTCCGTCTCAAGATCTTTGTTATAGTACCGCCTTCAATGTAGGAAATTTTGGTAACGATCGTCATTCTATTTTATGTTTTCAAACTTCACAGTATCAGTCAGTGCCATTTTATCAAAACACTAGCAACAGTAAATCGAAACATCAATTTTTTCCAGAAACGTAGTTCGTTTCCTGTCCCATTCTGGAAATCCAAAAGCTACGTTCATCGAGACCTTTTCAAGAAGGTATGAGAAAGACGCCTATTGCCCACGTATTGCAGTTTATACAATCAGAGACATCGAGGAAGGCAAAATAGTCACGATCCGGTACTACGCTGATAAGAATAAGAAAACAAAGACCAGTGAAAATCTGTGTTCAAAAATTCTCGAATCCTGTTTTTATTGTTCTTGTGGTTTTGTTGTTCCAACAATTTGTCAAAGTGTCTTCTTCTCCATTTTCACAACTTTCCCTACAGCCTGACTTTTTTTATTGCTCAACAGATCTTCTGAACTTTCTCTTGTGTTCTTGTTTCTTCTTCTTCTTTTTCATCCCTCTGTAAACAATAATTTTCTGAAAAACCTGTCCGATACATTTTATTTTTTCTCACCTCAAAACTCTCTTAAGAACTTTCACCCATCTTCTCAAGAGGGAAATTCAGAAACCGATTCGCCGATTGTTACTGTTGTTTGTCTTTCTCGTTATCATCTCTACACACCCGTGCAGCACGTATCTTCCGAGTTAAACTTCAGAAATTCAGGCGCAATTTCGAAATAAATCTATTAACAAGTGAAGGATCCAATAAATTTTCATCCATAGCCAAAAACAAGAATAAAAGAATTGAGGTATCTGAGTTTTTAGATGCGAACGGTTGGCTTATGAAAACAGGCAAGGAAAAGTCAGAAGACATTAGCGGCTAGCTTTGAATCGCAATACATAAACAAGTCTATGGACACTTTCTGTTTACCACAAAATTGCTCATCGTCTCAACCCATAATTTTAATAACAGAGGATGAACTGCCAAAAAGATTTTTTTTGTTTTCTATATGGGGGCCATTTTGAAGTTGAAGACGTTTTCAGCATGAACTTTGATATTCTATCAAAAAGCTGATGTCGCCACAGTCCATGGTGGAATCTTCTCCAACTAATGTATTTTTTAAACAACTTCTGATATACTTCTGATATTATCTCCAATGTATTACCAATACACAACTCTAAACAATCTATATTTAGCCTTATAGCCTTACGCGGGGTCTGGAACTTTTTTCATGCAATTAATGCGTGTCGCCCACAAATGTGTCGTGCGACCAGGTAACTTTTGGTATTTCGAGCTAATCTAGATCTCCGGAAAACTCCGCCCAACTCGTAAAATGTGTAATGTCTCACAATTTTTAGCACTATATCAGTCAAATCTGAAAATATAAAAGCGGAGCCAGTTCTTCCTCAATATTCGTTATCTATTGTTTCGTTGACTAGTTGACTACAGCCGTCCGAGCAATGGCCCAATTCCTGGTCTTCGTCTGCATTATGGCATTCGCTGCCTTCGTTGCTTCCGACCAATCGATCTACGATCAAGAGGTTGTTGAGTTTGACGTGGCTTAATATTAGCGAAAAACCAATGAATGTGTAGACTTGATTAAGCCTAAATTGGTCCGTTCTGAATATTACATTTCCGATGTTCTTAAACTGGTCTATGTGATAATTTATTCATTATTTCGAGCGCAGAATTGAGAACCATAGCTGTTTATCACATAGGATTGATAAAACAAAGTTAACTACTAATTATAAGAAAATAACTAATCGTTTTCAGGAAGGAACGAATAATTTTCGATTCGTCGGATTCGGTGGTCCGGAGCGTGTTCCACCTTTCGAATCGCTAGAAGGTGTTCTCCGACGGCTTCATCTCCGTGCACTTCCGATGATGAAGAGGTCTATCGCTATCGGTCGTTCGGGCTTCCGACCTGGAAAAAGATCAATGGAGATCTTTGCGTTTTGAAATGGAAATAATGGTTCTTCCCTACAATGACTTCTGATGACCGAACTGACACCTACTCCCTCATGTTGATATAATTCTTTCGATTTTTTGTCACTACTGAAGTTTTTTTGTGAATAAAAATCTTGTTAATAAGCTTTTGAAATGATCTATTCAAATTCTTAAAACAAAATGAATGGGTGGAACTTGCTTTGGGAGGTACAAGATGTCGATGTGATCAAAAACTCTAAAGCGCTTCAAAACGAGATGAAATTAGATCGTTTCTGTTTGTTGGGTACCAGGAAATAGGGCAACTAGAAGACTTAAGCACGGAGAGAATATAGCACTTTTTCCAAGTAAAATTTTTAAAAAAGTTAAGAAGGAACATTTTGAAAATTAGCTTTGAGTCTTTAAAATATAAATCGAATTGATCGAATTTCAAGTTTTTTTGCGGACGAACATCTAAAATCTGTAATGTTTATGTAATCAAACAACACGAAAAAAATTGAGGATAACCTCCAAATTCGCAGATTAGAAAAAATGATCAATTTATTCAAAAAGAATCGCAAACTGTTTTGCAAGTCTATAATAACTAGCCACGGTTATGTTGTTTGTCGAGAAAGATACAGGCTGCTTTTTTTCAGAAATTTTTTAGTACATTGTGCTCTTAAATAAACTAATAATCGCCTAATATTTAGTACACAGTCAATATTTATCATTATTTCATATTCCTCGCTCGTTTTCATGGCTTCTGAAAATATATCTTCAATTATTTCATCATCTACTCATCCAATGCTAACGAGAAGTCAGGTCAAAGCTGATACAACACAGCAAAATCTAAAAAATCAGGCAGCTGTGGATCCGCAAGTGTTGAAATTTTTGAAGTTGCTGGCAATGGAGGAGATGCCCGGATGGAGACCACCAGCAAAAAAAAAGGGTTATTGTGGTTGAGTCTGATGAGGAGTCGGAAGAAGAAGGGGAAAAGGTGGAAAAATGAGCTTTTTTTCTCAAAATTAATGAAATTGTTCTTATTCAAATGTTAGTTGAAATTCTTATCACACTATACCGTATTACCTCCGATAAAATGCCACCATTTCACTTCGAGCTTAATTATCTCGGTTCCTATGAGAGATATCGTGTTAAGCTTTATTTTTGAAAGCTTTTTATAGAATACCTGCGATTTCCATATTGCTAGCCATCTTTATCATGATCCAGTGCAAATTTCTACTGATCCTTTCTCTGACGTCACTTCTGCGGTGCAGTTTCCGAAATTTTCCTTCCTCTTCCAAGACGGTCCTCAAGTGTGTCAATCACCTGAAAACGCTTGGCAGCTTGGCAAAATGTCCTGCTTGGTATCCCGAGACGTTTCATGATGGACTGTCGGCTCTACCCTTGTTTGAAGAGGGCGATGAAGGAAGTAGGTTCAGATAGAACGGTGCCATCCGCCTCAAAGTCAACGGATCAACTTGAAACTTTGCACATTAGTTAAAGACAAGTTGATGAACAATATAAAACACTATAGGTACGAGAAACGCACAAGACGGCCACGCAATGGCGTCAAACTTTTTTGCGTGTAATTAATTCAACTTTTCAAACGGATAAAATTCCAACGAATATATACCGTAAACCCTCTCATAGAACGCTCCTCAAATCGCCAAATTTTGAGCGGACATATCTCATCTCATGTGAAAGATATGAACAAGTTGTCAACTGACAAAATGTGAATCATAATATCAAAAATATTTGAACAGTTGTGTACTTTGTGTTATCTTTCATAGAAGACAAGATAGATTGCCTCAATTGAAATAAAAGCTATTGTATTTACGGTAGTTTTATTATGCCCCCTCGCCTTTATTAATGATTCAAACACGCTCAACACCTCGAACTGTTAAATCCGGATTATAAATATAATTTCCTCAGTTTCTGCTCTCTTTCCTCCATTCCAGCTTATCCCAAAACCCTAACTGACATTATCAAGGAGGATGAATGAGGTCCACAAATCCCCTACTTCTATCTTGCCCTCTTTCTCGCCCATATGCCCTAATCCATTTTGATTAAAAACGTCAACCTCGTGCATATAATTTCCGATTTCCCTCCTCCTCTCATTTTTCATTTTGTCACTGGACACTGGTCCAGCAAAATATCTTTGTCTCTTCTGCACTCTAGCCACCCCGTCTGTTTCGATTCGTGGAGTATTACACTTTGCTACACACGCGACGGAGCACTCTGCTTTTCGCTTTTTATTCTCTTCACCTATTCATTATGGGAAAACGTTCGCTGTCCGATGAGCAGGTGGTTCCGCAAACCGAGAAAATGTCTTCGAAGGTCGAGAAAAAGGAGGTGAAGAAGAAGGAAGCGAAGATGTCGGAATCACCAAAGAAGTCAGATTCAGATGAGGAGCAAGTGCTTGATATCACCGATGAGTGGCACCCAGACTTCGTTCCACGGAAGAAGAAGAAGAGAGTCGTACCGGATTCCGAAGACGATTGGGAAGATGATTATTTCTATGAGAAGGATGAGGAGAAGAAGGAAGAGGTGAAAAAAGAGAGCAAGGAGGAGATGAAGAAAGGCATAAACACAAAATAAATAAACAATGTTTCCTATGTATCCCATTTCATCTGTTGATATCTCAATTGAATCTGTGAAATTTTGAATTTGAATTATTCATCAATAAACTTTTATAATTTGAAAAATATTTTTCTGTGTTTTTCTTTTTGCCTTTGACCTATCAGTTATCCACTGATCTCATATCTACTTTTGCAGGTTTTCTTTCTTCAGTATTTCGGGACACAGAGGCTGGAGGCTAAACGAGATTTATTATGTTTCACCTGCTGCATCAGGAAAAAAAGAAGCATGGAGATTTTTTTTCGCACCCTTGACAACAGCTTCTAAAGTGTGAGGCGTGTATGTGTGGATTTTTGCACCAACGTCCGGGGATTAGAGTTCGCTCAGTCAGAGCAACTGTGAGCTTTTCACACAAGATAAATAAAAGATCTTAAAGAGAGGGGAGCATCAGAAAAGAACATGAATGATATCAGTATTCATTGAGATGTTACATACATGAAACTCGAAAAGCAAATAAAAAATTCAGAAAACAGAGAAAAACAATAAAATTCTATAATAAAACAACCACACCAATGATATCCTGAAATACAGCAAACACTGTGTATAATAAGAGAGTTTCTAACTTAAAATGTAAACTAATTTATCTTTGTTTGCATGAGAAGTATCAAAAAGTGGTCAACGGACACAATCTTTTTGATATTATTATTAACATTTTGTCAGTTGACCATTTTTTGATATCATTCAAAAGAAATGAGATAATTGAGCTCAAAGTTGACCGTTCGGGAGGAGGGGTGCATTTCACTAGGATGTTTACGAAAGTAACAGTAGCCTCAATTTAATAGGTTCATTTCTAAAACTTTGGAGGTATGCTTGAAGTTTTCTGAGTTTCAGGAATCAGAAAAGAAGACATTTAAACAGATCATCGAACATCTGGAAAATGAATTTCTTGCTCTTGCTGATTTTTTAGTTCACACAGAAAAAAAGACATAACTGAGAGAAAGAAGTGACAGTGAGGAGCCTGTTTCAGAAACACGCCTGCTTTTTCATGTTTTCAGTACAAGAAACGGACAAAAAAGGCGAAAAGGCATCCGCTTAATCCACTGATCCCATCCTCACCCATTTTCAATCTGGTAATATCTAGCAGGCTGTTTTCCGCCACTTTGGCCGAGTTGCGATACCCATTAGCCCTTTTACAATATTTTTTTTCCATTAGTTCTTTTCTGATATTCATATAACATTGAAGCAAATTGTTTTTTAGTAAACGTTCATACTAGTGCCCGGAGAAGTGTACTAAATGGAGAGAGTGTTTACAAATGCGCATAAAGGATAAGCCAACTGTGAGCCCCGGGAAGAGTGTGTATTCCTCTGGAACACAAACATTCACACTTTGCATTTTAATAGCTCATCTTTGAGATTGTTTCTGTAGAAAACCAGCAAGTGAATATTTTTACAAATATTTTAATGACTGAAATTTCATTTTATTTTTTGATTGTTTGCAAGTTTGAAAATCTTTAAAATTTTGGGATAAATCAATAATATCATATCTGGGCAGCCCTCTCAATGTAACAATGATTATATACTTGTTATGAAATCCTACTAATTGGAATCACTAGAGCGCATCCGAACAGATTTGCATATCTCATGTGTCGCTTTTGGTTAGCAGATTTTTTTTCATGAATTTACAATTGAATATGAGAAAAGCTCATTATTCTACCTTTTTCTGTAATTTTCAATTTTTTTAGAAATTAAAAAGACGCGTTTTTAAAAAATTTCTGTTCTTTTGCTTTCATGTCAAAAACTCTACGATCTATCCCATTTTTCTGTAAATTCAAATTATTATTCAATTGTACGATTCAAAAAAAATTCAAAAACACTGAAATAAGAATTCCTCAATTGCTTCTAATTAGAATCAATAATATTATTGGCTGCGATGAATAACAATTATGTGTCTCTTATATGCAAAAGTACATTTATTTTGAATATGAATTGAATAATTCTAACGCTATATTTAATTTACTGATTATTGGCGGATGGAGGTTTTCTAATCTTGGCATACGATTAAATGGGGATTTTTCAAAATGAGATTTTCGAAAAGTGTTCTTCTTTTGGGAGGCCCTAAATAGGCTTGCTCGAAAAAATTTTCTTTAATTGGAAAATCGAATATTCAATTTTTTACCGATTATTTTTTGAATAACGCAATAAATTTTTAGAATAGAACTTTAACTGACAATTGATGGCTTTGAAAACTGCGAAAAATCAAAGAAATTTCACCAAAGCGTCTTTAGCGCACCCTATTTTTTGAAGGGACTCCCTACGAACTTTTCAAAGGATATTTTTTAGTATCTACAACACATTTCTTCACACAATACAAAAAAATCATTTAGATTAGCAATATACGTACTTATCGGCATTTTCAGTTAGCATTCACCAGATTCAGAGAATTTCAAACACGATTTTTTATCCTATCGATTCAGAAACACCATCAAACCAGGAAAAAACTACCTCAAAAGTGTTTACACTGAACCAAAAAAGCACCTTATGGCGCCATCGGGTCGTCTTCAGTTCTCTGATCCTTTTCTGCAGAACATTTTCACACCGAAAGAACCTGTTCTCTTTCTGCGACCATGTTTCATTAGTTATCACACGAAATGCGACCTTCAACTTCTATCTTTTCCTCGATTTATGGTCATAGTGCCGTCTTCTCTTTTTTTTTTTCCTCTCCTTTTCTTTTCTTGTCAGAGAAAACCTCTTCTTCATCTCTATCCCTCACTTGGTTTCCGTTACACTGTCAACAGAGACACACACACGGCTGACCCTACACTCTTCCCGCACGTTGCCCTCATCCCTAGCGTTTTTTGGCCTACCCTCTCTTCAATATACCCCCCCTTTTTTTCTCTGTGTCTCTTCTTGTGCTGATCTTATCGTTGGAATAGTGCGCGTATGTGTGTCTGGCGTCTTGCGTAAGTAATTAAATGCCGATTAGGCAGTTTTTTGCCTATTGATAACCAAAAGTTATAAGTTTGCAAACCATTTTTTCTGCACCTAAACACGAAACACTGTGTGCAATCATGTGTTTGCTCAGTTGGCAGTGTTTGTCGGCCTTCGTCCTCCTCCTCTTTCCCCCAATTTCTGAGTAGTCGTTCGTGGACGGCCTTCTTCTTTTCCTATACGTCACTCTCTTCTTTTTGCGTGTTCCTTCTCTCATATTGTCCCCGCATACCAGCTGTCCGGTCATTTTTTTCTCTTGCACTAGTACACGAGTACAAGAACATTTTTTCGTCGAAACGCTCTATTGTTTTTGTTCCTAATCCGGAATATTTTCGCAGCCATGAACCGTCAAAATCCGATGAACCTCAACGCGGCAATGGCAAATCTCATCGCTGCGGGACAACAGCCTCAGATGCCTCCAATGCAAGTACCGGTGAGTTTTTTGTTATTTGAAGAAATGTTTTTCGACAAAAAAATACGTATCAGCGGGTCGATTCCGGGCTGGCACAAGCCGGCTAACAACTTGCCTCAGAATTGTGATTGTGAGCGAAACAACATATCAACTAATAAAGATCAGCGAGCGCTACAACCTCCAAAAAGAATGAACCGTCTTCAAAAACAGTATTATGGTCCGGGCCTGCGTTTTATAGCTGTGCCGATGGTTTTTGTCCGGTCTGGCTGTAAAATGCCGGCTCGGACCATAATCGCGCTTTCGAAACCGGCTCATTTTTAATGGAAGGCCGAGATTTTGGCATGTTGTCTTGTAAACGATTTCAATTTTGAAGCGAGTTTGCAGCCGGCAAGTATGCGTATGATTTTTTTTCGACATGATGGCAAAAATGCAAACTACGGTATTCTTTAAGCCTATTTTTAAAGTTTTTAGACAAATGTATCCATTTTCTTGATGCAAATCGGAGAAAAAAGAATGAAAATGAAGATAATCGTAGAAATTTTGAAAAAAAAATTGAAGTTCTTGCGCCTTCAAGATAAATTCAACGAGATATCCGCTCGATAAAAATAGTTCAAGAGTGTGGCGAAAACCTTGCAAACCGAGTTAAGGTGTATGAATACCTGAAAAATTCGCATTCTGTACCCTCAAATTCTGGGATTTCTACACTTAAGCCGCATATCACCTCAAAAGAGCCCGAAAAGTGTTGAAATAAATTTTGTACGAAGGCTTGCTTCATTCTAGATGTGGTTCCAGCTTCAGTGCGTTAGCGGAATCAGTATGAAACTTATTCTCCATATCACACCACTTTTAAAATAAATATTTTCAGATACCTGGTCACACTCTGCCACCATTTCTCCGACAACCACAAAGGCCTGTTCCTATTGCAACTCCAATGCCGGTTATGACGCCAGCTCCGGCTGTCGTGGCTCCAAACTACCAAAAGATCGCCGAGATCCCAGATGCTCACGCGAAAAGCGTTTCTTGCTTGAAATTCTCTCCCAACGGCAGATACTTGGGAAGCAGTGGTGCCGATCGTGTCATTAAGATCTACAATACACACGATTTTGCCTTGGAAAAGATGGTAAGTCATTTATTAAAATTTGAAAACAACGTGAGAAAATGTTTTTTTGACAAAAACTGGCAACGATTTTTCTTGTGTAAGCTTTAAAAAAAAAGAGCCAAAAATATGAAATATCGCACGCTCTCCCTGTTCTGATTTTGAGCAGCTAGTAGCGTTTTCGAAAGCTGCTTGTTCAAACTTTCAAAGATACGATATTTTCAAAATTAGAATATTCAAAAGTTCTAAAATTTTGAAACTCGAAATTTCCGACATTTCGAAAATATTCCGAGATCTCCATTTCAAACATCCCTGCTAGAATAAGGGATTGAAAAAGTTCTATAACATATTCTTATGTTAATATTTTCAGCTCACTGGTCACAAACTCGGAATCAATGAATTCGTCTGGAGCAGTGACTCGAAAGTCATCTTCTCGGTATCGGATGACAAAAATGTCAAGATGTACGACGTCGACAATGTCCAGTGCCTGAAGACAATGAGAGGACATACGAATTACGTCTTCTGCATTGCAGTCAACCCGGCCGGAACACATGCTGCTTCAGGAGCCTTCGATGAGACTGTTCGCGTGTGGGATACTAGACTCGGAGTCTGTATCAGAGTTTTGCCAGCTCATCAGGATCCAGTCACGGGAGTCATCTTCAATCGAGATGGAACTCTCATAGCCAGTTGCTCCTACGATGGCTTTATTCGAATTTGGGAGACAGAGCACTACACATGCTGCAAGTCGCTCGTTGAAGAGGATAACCCACCAGTGTCGCATATCAAATTCTCCCCAAATGGAAAATTTATCCTTTCTTCGAATTTGGATGACACACTTCGTTTGTGGGATTTTGGCAAAGGAAGGAATATCAAAGACTACACGGGACATCTCAACAGCAAATATTGCATCGCCGCCCACTTCTCGATCACCGGAGGAAAATGGATTGTGTCCGGTTCGGAGAATGGAAGAATCGTCGTTTGGAACATTCAAACCCGTGAAGTGGTGCAAGAGATTGAAGCTCATGACAGTAAGTTTTTTTTTCAAAAAAAAAATAGAAAAAGTATTTATTATTCCGAAATAATTTCAAATTATAGAGAAATGTGTAAAAACGAGTTTCGCATTCAAAAAAAACCTGAAAAACTTAAAAAAAATTCACGTTTTGGTCAAAATTTAATAACGAAAGTACTCTGAAAATTTCCTCAAGCCGTCAACTTCGAGCTTATACATCTTATTTCCCGACGAAGATATCAAAAAGTCGTCAACTGAAAAAATGTTGATCAGAAGATCTCAAATATTTAATCAGTTAACTACTTCTTGATATCTTCGATAGGAACCGATATATTTTGGCTTGAAGAGAAAAGTTTTGGGCCCTACTAATACAGTTTTACTGTGTTTAGAAGAAAAAAAAATGGAATTTGAGAATCTGGAACTATTTTCGAATCTTTGTAGAGAAAATTTCGGAATCTTTGTAGAGAAAATTTCTGTTATCAGTTGATATATACCATTATTTCAGCTGATGTGATGAATACCGACTGTCACCCTCTCACAAATATGATCGCATCTGCTGGTATCGAGCCAGAGCTATGCATCAGAATCTGGAAGTCTGACACATAAATGTTAAAGCCGCTCCGAACTCTTCACGTTAAAATAAAATTCATATTCACTTTATAACGCTCCCATCTGACCATCACAACTTGCTCCCTATCTATGCAACTTATTTTCTTCTCTGAACTTGTTCCCAAAGGATCTCCTTGTAAAATCCTCACGGATTATGGCGCATTGTATATCCCACAATTTTCTTTGCCAGATTTCACATCCCGTTTCTTTTCCAAACTTCACCGGAACTGTTTGTCATAAATCAATTTTGTATTGAACAATGTTTTTTTCGATCAAAATATGAAAATTTTCAGATAATCAGAAACTAAATTACCTGAAGCTTCCTTCCTCTCAATTTGCTAATCCATTTGGTCACTTTCGCTTGCTCGACGTTCCCCTCCTCAGAATGCTCCACCGAGATATTTCTTTTTTCATTGGATTCTCTTCTTTTTGTAGAAACGCAGACAGGGAAAGCCTTCGTTGCTGAAGATGTGAAATAGAGCGGAGAGAGAGGGGGAAAGATCCCTTTATCGACTTTTTTCCGTTTGTGTCACCTTGAATCTTTGTCGCGCATGCGTTCTCATTTCTATTGTGTTTTGTTCTGAGTACTTTTAACATTTTCGGAGGCTCTCCTCTGTTAGAAGAGAACAGAGAAGCAACAAAATGTTTTTTAGTTAGCTCGTACGATTTTTATCATCAAGTTAACAACTTTCATTTGAAACAAAGCCCATCCAAGAAATGATAACCGTAAAAATGCTTATACATAGAATGACCCTCAAAGTGGATGGTTCCTAAAATATTATATTGAAGTGTTTACGGTTTTTGCTCTCTTTGCTATCTCATTCACCTTAAAAACTTTTTGTTGAATTTCCTCCTTTTTTGCTTATCAAGTTTTCTTTTTCGTTTCGTTAAGAGTTTTGGGAAACATTTTAATCTTCTTTTTTCCTCGAAAAACTATCTTGTATTCGTGGGATTCAAAACAAAAAATAAATTATACATAAAAATTCAGGCTTCCTTCTTCACTAAGACGCTTCAAACTAATTTTTTTATTTTCCCACAACAGGAATAAAAAGCTGTAAGTTCTGGTTTTTTTAATAATAGGCTTGTACACATCTTTAACAGATTGTCCCTACCTCATAACTTTGAGCCAATGTTTCTATTTTCCCGTCGAAAATCTGAAAAAGTGGTCAACTGACAAAATGCAACATTTTATCAGGCATTCTGTTAATCACAAAAGGCGACCCCCTCTTCTTCATCTTCTAACTTTAAGCTAATTTATCATGGTTCCTGTGAGATATTTCAAAAAATAGTCAACTGGTGAAATGTTGATTATAAAATAGCATAAATTTTATTAGTAGACCACATTTTGATCTTCCACAAGAATGGAGATATATGAGCTCAAAGTTGATGGCTTGAGGCTATTCTACATATTATGTAGAGTGTTTACAGTAGGTTAGTCACGAAAGATGAATGTGCCTAGTGAAGCTGGCACCCCTTTGAAGTATTCAAAACCAGCCTCCTGTTTGCCGCGCCTCCGGCGCTTCACAATTCAAGCATTTTCAATTATTCGTCGCTCCACTCCTAACTTTTCGATTTTTTTTCTCACGCTGTAAAACACCTACGCCCTCCCTCCCCTCTCCTGGTGTGGGCCTCATGGCGCAGCTGTGTGCGTGCGCGGCTATTGTGCGGAAGACCGCGGGTTCGGTTTTGGTGGCGGCCAATTTTTCATTTAAAAACCAAAAACCGGACAGCCGGACACTAGGACCAACAGACGCGTCTAGCGTTTTATATATAAGAAAGATAACGGGGTCATTAAAAGAGAGACAACCCTAAACTTGAACAAAAGAAGACGTTATTTGTCTGCATTAGTTAATTGTGGCGCACTGGCGTTACACAAAGACGATATTTAAAAACTGTTATTAGTAAAGACTGTTCCTTTTAGACCATGGACAACTCCTCTCGACGCATTCGTTTCAAAACCAAGGATAATGTAGTCTTGGAATCTAGTGTCGCAGCAATGACAAAGTCTCCAACCGTACGAGATTATCTCATCAACACCGGCGGAGAGCCAGACTCGGGAGAGATCTATCTGGAAAATATCAGTGCTCGTGCAATGCGCATTATCATCAAATGGTGCGAAGAACACATTGATTACCCATGCATCGAGAACTCGGACGACCCGATGGGAAAGCCAACGCCAACGGAATTCGATCGAGAACTATTGAAAGTTGGCAACGACCTGCTCCACGAGTTGCTTTGTGCTTGCGTTTTCTTGGAACTTTATGGACTCATGGATCAGGGGAGTAGATGCGTCAGTTCTCAGATGAGAGGCCTTGATGTCAAGCAGATGAGAAGGTTTTTGGGGATTCCAAGCGACTCAGAATCGGAGGATGAGAACGAGCCAGGGCCGTCAAATGGAAGAAGACGATGATGGAGAATCATTGACAAGACTTATTCGATTAAAGTTTTCACTATTTTTTTTGAAAAAAAATTCCATTTCATGCATTCCCTTCTCATCGACAAACATCAAAGTTTAATTGTGTTATTTTTCTTAATATCTCTCGGCATATATAGAACTGTACTAATCTTTTCCAACAGACTAACTTTCCTAATTCTAAAAGTTGCGTCCTCGTTTCTCGGACTAAGTTTTTATTTTTATTTATTTTTATTTTCTTTTGAAATGAAAAATTGGCTCTAGTTGGTTATTTTGGATTTTAAAGAAATTTTTGGATTTTAATAAAAATTTTGGATTTTAGAAAAAAATTTTGGATTTTAGAGAAGACCAGAAATTTTTGGATTTTAGAGAAATTTTTGGATTTTAATCAGGAAAATTTTGGTTTTTAAAGAATTCAGAAAAGATTCATTAAAACACCTTCTGCTTCTCAACTACTCTATTTTTGGCGTGATTGTTGTTTGTTCGCTTGAGAATGAATTTGATTTGGGTGCTGAGTGAGGTATAGTTTTTTAGCATCCAAATCTTTTAAATTTGGTGTCATTTTCAAATTTCTCAGTACAGAGATAACGATTTCTTTTCAGTCTAAGCCTATAATTTCAAACAAAAGAAAAATTATTCTGAAACATTTCTAGTTAATGAAGTACTGAAAATCAAATCAATGAAAATCCATTTTTCTCACTGAATTTTTTTTCAAAATGTTCTGTTTTTTGTTCAATTTAAAGGCTTAAGCTGAAATGTCTTGTTTTCCTTCCACTGGAACACTTGCATTTGGCATTAACTTTAAAACATTTGGCTGTGTTTGACATGTTTTCAACGGCCCAGTATCCAAGGGTACATCGGGAAAGGGTACCTCTAGTTCTTAGAGTACATTGATTCCTAGCATACATGGGATTTTGTGGTACATGCGGGAGGGCGAAAAAAAAGTTTCCCTAGACTGTTTAGCTTTCGCTCTAAATCCTAGGCTTAAGCTATAGCGACTTTCACCTAAGATCCCGTTTGCCCTCTGAACCTATGTACCCTAAGAACTCAGAGTACCCTCAGCGTAGTACAGCCAGGAAGAACACTGGCCACAATTTATGATGAAAATTTCATCGCACGAAATTTTTGGATTCTAAAGTTTTTCAAGGTCTTTAAAATCCAATATTTTCTTCAAAATCCAAAATTTTCTTTAAAATCCAAAATAACCAACTAGAGCCAAAATTAGTGTGGTACCAAGCAAGTGGAAATCTTGAGTTCAATAACTCTGCTGGGTGTAGCCTGAAATCTGATTTCCAGATGTATTTTAAAACAATTTCAATCAGAGATTCTAGAACAGAACCAAAATTACCTTAAAAACGAAAAAAAAAGAGAAAAAAGGAAGAGTGATTTCCAAAATGAATAAATCGACTGAAATAAGCAAAAAAAAAACATAAAACTGTAGCACTTTGAGGCAATTTGGGGACTTCCCCAATCATTACTCTGACACCTTTTGAAAATCTCTGAAAACCCTCGTTAATTCTAGAAACTCCCGTCTATTCTCAAAACCTCCGTTAAATCATAAAGAGCCAATATGTCAACAGATACCGTGACCACCCTAATAGAACGCCACCCGAGTCGTTGAATTTGAACCAATGTATCTCATTTTCCGTGAGAGATATCAAAAAGTAGTCAACTAATACAATGTTGCTGATAGTATGACAAACATTTTATTAGTTGCAACTTCTTGATATTTTTTAAAAGAAATGAGCTATATAGACTTAAAGTGAACGGTCCGGGTGGCGTGTTTATGGTAAATCATTCATTAAAATATCACCAATTTGGTCATCAGTTGAGAAAAATTGTGATATTTTTCAAGATAAATTGACTTTAAGTTAAAATGAGGAAGTGTATTTTTTCAGTGTTTTCACAGTGTTTTATCTTTTGGACAATGAAGGCAGAATTTTTCGATGTTCTCTCTGTTCTCATAGTTTTTTGAACAACCATCTCTGCAGATTGCGAAAATGGAATAAATAACAAATTAAAATGACAATTCGTCGCCTTTCTTCCCATTTAAGCTGCCTTTCTTTGAGAAAAGCGCGTGTTTTGGGCTTCCATTCCTCTTTCCACTCTCTCATATGTTTTCTTTTTTCTCTTCCTCAATGAAAATGTTTTCTCCCGCATCTCTTTAAGCTCCTCTCTTTTCCCTCTCCTTAATACTTGGCTGCGTGCCAATTGAGACATTTTCTAGCTGTCTGCGACCGAACACCGAAAATACACACATCTCTCGCTCCTTTCGTGTCGGAGTCTCGTTTTTCGCTGATACTACGAGGCTCTCCGCGGTGTGCCTGTTACCTCTAAAAGTTCTCTCCCGAGCAACATTGTTTTGGCTGGCGCGGTTTCTGCGCAAGTTCATCGTTTGGCTTTTCTCCTTATTTTATTTATTTCATCTTCGTTTTTCACAAACATATAACAATGATTCCCGTGAGCACTCTAAAAGAATGACCCCTCCCCCCAAAACCTTTACAGGGTGAGCTTTAATTACGGACACACAAGTTATCGGCTTGATATAATACACACCAAGCTAACTAGTTCAATTTGTTTTATAATTTTCTGATTCCTCAATTCAGTGGCTATTACTCTGTCAAATTTTATGAAATAACTTCACGACTGAATGTGATGGTGGCTCATTTTCGAACCCTTGTTTCCGTCATCAACTGTTCAATTGACGGTGACCTCATTTTTGGTGTTACAAAACCAGTCAGTGTGGACGGCATGATAGTTGATCGTACTCCCAATCAATTTTTTCTTATTTACACTGATATGGACCATATAATAACTCCCTGTGGGGCATCTGTGACATAAGATACAATCGTTCTAGCCGTGAAAAAGAGGATTTGCTGAAATTCAGACGAGAGTCACAGAAAGCTCGCTGCTGACTTCAAAATGGCTCGAAGCTTAATTAATACAATTTTTGGATGAGAACAGCTTACACCACTTTTAAAATTGTCCATTAGGTCTTTAGGAAGGGGAAACCAGAGGGTTGTGTCTAAAAAAGGATAGAACTTTTTGAGCGGCACGCACCGAACACACGTAAGCAGTCACACGATGACCCTACTTTTGAGTGATAATTTTCACAGTCAAAGACAGCAAGGTCCATCTATTAGGTTGTCCAAAAAGTCTTTGATACTTTTCTTCGAGATGCGTTTTCTTCAAGGAAAATAAGAATCAATAAGAAATGTATTCACTATTGGAGTTTATAACTTTTTGCCAGCGTAACAGAAGTTGGATGATTTCAATTGCGCAGAAATCTGGCGACTTAGAAGCGAAAAGTGATTCAAATTTTTTTGACATCTTTCCGATCGTGGAATTTATTTTCTGCAAGGCAGTTCGGAGAAATTAGAAAAAGTGGTAATTAATTAGTGCCAGACAAGGGGTATACGCTGGGTAAAACACAATTTTGATTTCTATAGGCTCAAGCGTACTGCGGGTATTCGAAGATTCGTGTGGGTTTTCGTTGTCATGCAATAGTTTGAACAGCAAGCCTTTCTGGAGGTGAGGGCGATGTGCATAAATATCACTTTCCATTTGGAAGCCGTAGGGCCAGAGTTGATGATACTGGAGTCCGGAAGCAGCTTGCGGGACATTACTCCAGCACTGTCTAACCAAATTCAAAAAATCTGATTTTTTCTGAAAGCTTCCCGTTTGAGCTCGATTTCGCTTTTTTTTGTGCAGAGACCCATTGGCTCTTTCTGACATAGTTGAGATACAGTGCTCGTTTATTATCTCAAATAGAAGTTTTGTTGATCCAGTCCCTCGTCGGTCCGCTGATGAGAAGTGAAAGTGACAAGTCACATCGTACCTTTTTTAGATAATTGACCAAAATGTGTGGAACGATTCGACCACCCCTCTGAGCTCTTCCCGTTTGGTGAATATTATTTGTTACGGTGGTATTAGGATGACAGACTGTCAAAGATACTGCACGTGAAATAGCTCGGGCTCTTCCTCTAGTATTATCGAAATATCACCATTCATACTGAGAATAGGTCATTTCGATGTTAGTTTATGTTCCAGATTATAGTTCCCTTCTCCGAAACTTTAGAACCAAAACTTATTAGGGGTTTGAGGGATAGTGTACGTCTAACACCTTGTTCGCCAAAGTTCGTTGCTCTAGAGACCCAGGGGAAACAGGAACAAAACACACCTCTGTGCATGTGATGTTCATCGAGTTAGTTCTCGCCCATTACACTGTTTAAATGAAATTTTTTATAGTGCGTTAAACACACGATGTGTGACATCTATGAATATGAAAACAGATTTAGAAAAAATCGAAGTTCGGAAGAGCAACATAGAGCGAAGTAAAAGTGTCAAAGACTTTTTGGACAACCAAATAAATTGCAACATTCTTTTTAAAGATATGTCAATTATCTGTCAGTGAAGATTGATCCCAAATAGAACTCTCGCTTCGGTAACGATCTTTGATGGAATCACTAGAATTTTTGAAAAATCCCTTATTTTCCTCGATATCCAAACCAAAATCAACTATAGCACCAATCTAAATGTTCAAAAATCTGTTTTAACCTAAATTCTACTTGAAAAGTTAATATAGGGTGTTCCGACAAGATTGAGCCACGGCTTACAGGACCAAAGACACTCAAAGGCGGTTCAAACTCATTTTTCCGTTGGTTTTAGATTAGATTTATTTATTTTCAGAGCGGTGACAAACGGTACATAAGAAAAAGGCAGCCCCCCTCACGAGGAGCGCCTAATAAGTTAAAAAGAGAAGAATAATGGAAACGGGAGGAATTGTATACAGTAAAATACATGTGTTAAAAATAAGGATCATAGCTAGTAGCGAGAAATAGAAGAATCAAGGAGATTTTCAAATTGGGACGGGGTGAGGAAGTGGGGTACATTGGCAGTTATGGCATTCGAACTAGGCATAAGAAAGGATCGCTTTCTCCTCAGACATGAATTTAATAAATTATTCAGTATTAGGATATTGGACACAGACAGTTTCGTCATGAAATTAACACATTTTTATCTATCTGGAAAAAATTATTGCATTTTTATAAATTTTGTGCGTCTGAAATCATTCATTCCGAAATTTTAAAGTATTTCTTCAAGTTTTCGCAAAGTTATACTGGTTTAAACATCTGTCCGTAATTAAAGCACACCCTGTATTCCAAGCCCATATATCTCATTACACGTAAAAATATCAAAAGGTGGTCAAATCACAAACTGTTCATCATTTTGTCACAAATAATTTGTTAGTTTATAAATGTAAGTTAGTTCTCAGATAACCTGGCTTATGAAACATGAATCTCCCAACGGAATTCCACGACTGGGTTCGACTTCCCCCAGATATCAAAGTACTCTGCATGAATAAAATGGATTTTCTATCCAGGTTACTCAAATTACAAATTCTATTTATTATAAATAATCAAAACATTAGTTATAGAATTCGAATGCGCGCTACGTCGAAAATTGAGAGGGAACTCGTCGAGAAAGTTAACAACAACATTTTGAAGTTATCGTATTATGCCATGGGCAACGAAGAACCACATGAAGATATAGAAATTTCTCAAGATGAAAAGTACAAAATCATTCGGAAAAATAATGTTCACTTCGGAGAAGAAATGATGCCTCTGATGGCGTTTCTTTTGAGAACCGGAACCATTGAGTACTTTTTCGCCGCATCTTTTTGTGAGTTTGATGTTTTGAAAATTTGCAAACTCATTCCATAGATAGAACTTTAAACGTTACAGATATTGAACATTTTGCAGGGCCATTTTCGGAAATGCTGAGGACAAATAAGAAGTACAGAATCAAAAGTCTCAGAGTAGATCCAAGCAATGAAGAGGGACTGATGATTATGAAAGGATGTGACGAAAAGATAATCGAAACAGTCACTATCCATGAAAACTTTAAAGAAATCCCCGTGGAGGAAATTGTAGCCTTACCATCGGTAGGTGTTGTCTCACTTAGTTGTTCTAATGTTGAGAGTCAGGTTGAAATAGTTGAAGTAGAGTGCTCATTTTATCACGTGACGAATGTCCAAATGGTTTTGATTCACAATGTCTCAGAATTAATTTGGAACTCAGAAAAAGAACATGAAAACAGGTTGAAGAAAAGCAACAAAAAAACTTGAGTTTGCTTTTTGTATATTTCAATCATTTTTTTCATACTTTTAACGGGCCGGGCCGAAAGAGGATTTTTTCTGCCCGGACCGCCTTTAATATACAAAATTTCAACAGGAAAAAAGTTTTTCTTCCTTGAAAGGAAAAGTTTAAATTTTAGAAAAAAGTTGAAAGTTTTCGAAAAAAAAACACAAAAAACATCAGCTTCTGTACAAACAGCGGACCGGTACTTGATCGACCCGGCCCGCTAAAATTTTTGACGGGCCGGCCCGTGATTTTGAAAGAATGAGTTTTTCTTCTTATTCTATGATTTTAAACATTAGAGGTTTCTTTTCATTGAAAAAAACATCATTTTAGATTTTAATTCAATGATGGTTTTTGTGAAAATACAAAGAAAATTCCTTTCATGCATATTTGCCAGAAAATATGAGAAAAAAATCACAAAAAAAGTAAAATTTAAAAATAAAGCAGACAGAATCCTGGAAAAAAAAATGAAAAGAAAGTTAAAAAAAAACAACTTTCCAATGAAGATATCTCAAAAAAACTTATTGGCAATTTTTTATAATTGTTTGATACAAATTTCATTACAGCTCAAATCAGTGAAAACGTGGAATCTGCTTGGCGTCACTTACCCAATTTCGGTTCTTATCTTCATAGCCTATTGGTTCACTATAGATGTTGAAATAGAAACCAATCTCAACACTCAAATGTTTGGATATGAAACATTCGAGTTGATTACCGACTTTTTCTCACAACGAATCGAGTGAGTGAAAATGTCTATAAAAATTCTTCTATCTGTGTTTTCAGACACCAGACTGACAACAAGTGCACTATTCGAATTGATGATCGGAAGCGTGTCACTGTTACCGTCACAATAATTGAGGTTAAGGAATTAATCGTCGTTGAGGAATTCATCGTCGCTGAAGTCCACCTATGAAACGGTGTTCTCAACTTTCAAACTGTAATTCTTGTCTTACTGTGATCAAACTCATTTTTTATCTCAAAGTTTCATGATCAAACACTTTTTTCCGATCAAAATTGTGAGAGTTTTCTTATAATTATTTGAGTGTTCACTTCAAATAAACATTTTCAACGCCGGAAAATAATTTTCGGACTTGTTTTTGAGAGCACAATGGTTAAGAACATTTCGAAGGTAATGGAAATGTTTTACGAGTTAAATTATAAGTTCCCGTATTTTCTCTAATAGTAGCCCCTCCAGATCGGTAACCTTAAGCTTTACCATCTCTATTTATTTGAAATATATCGAAAATATGTCGATTGTTTAACGACTCATCATAAATTTCTGGAAGCAACACTAGAAAGTCTTCCCTAGTCGTAGTGTTAGTCAATAATATACCCTAAACAGGTTTATTCTGCGGTTGGAAAAAAGATAGATGAATGAGTAATTATGTAAATCTATGTTTTTACAAGTTTTGAGCGCTTCTAGAGATTTTTCAAAGAAATACGACCCATTGAAGTTTGGACAGAAATCGCTTATTTCTGATTTCTAGAGGAATATAGGCTACGAAATCTTGCGAAAAGACTCATTTCATTGTTTCTCTACGTCCAGGCTTCATTTTAGCATATTTTTAAAATTTTGCGAAAATTTGAAAAAAAATTCCAAAGGGGGAACCAAATAGTGACATTTTTTGAAAAAAAAAAATTTTTTTGAAAAATGAGGAAACTTTCTCAGATTGTAGAACAACATATAGAAGTACAATTTACTGTTAAAAAATCACGAAAAGCTGTCATTAATCCATTCAAAAATTTACTCCAAAAATGAGAAATTAGCACTGAAATCACTTTCACAGCTCATAACTTTTTTCACAGGACCGGGGTGGAAAAACTGACTTCAGTTCTGTAATCAGCGTGTTCAAAAGTACCAATGACAGAAGTTTGAGAAAAATTTCAACGCTTTTCTGAAAACACTTCCCTTGTCAGTGTCAACTTTCATTTCGGATCGTTGTTTTCTTTTCGGACTGCTATATTCTCCCCGGACCGTTATTTTCCCTGCGGACCGCTATTTTCCCTGCGGACCGTTATTTTCACGGTGGACCGTTATTTTCTCTAGGGACCGCTGAAATCAGATAGAACCAAAGCGTGTTATTTGTACAGTACTCTTGTCAGTAAGATGCACGAAAATGTGTGTTTTCAGTTGATTTCGACCTTGAAAATGCCTAGTTTTTAGCTATTCGCAGCTTTCTGGAAAAAGACTGGCTTTTTTCATATTTTTAGTGAAAAAACTGACTGAAAGGGTTTCCTTTCGGAAATCGGTAAGTAGCTGAAAACCTAAGAACTTTCGAAAAGCTCATCAAATGCAAACTTTTTGATCTAGATCTGTTCCACACTCTCCAAAATTTTTTAAGTGATCGAAAACTCGAGAGCCGATCTGCAGACTCCAGAAAGTGGCTGAATTCAATTGAAAAACTGATCGGTACTGTATACAAAATTAATTTTACATTCTGTATGATTATATAATACGTCAAATCTCATATTCTACTACTAGTTAAGCTTTGAAGCATCATTAATATAATCTTTTTCTATTTACGAAAATCGATTTACCGACTAATTTAGAAAAATAACTTTGAATTTAAAAAAAAATAATTTTTGAATTTTTAAAAAATTTATTTTCGAATTTTTTGTATAAATAAAATACATAATTCAAAACATGAAATCTTTTTAACTAAAATAAGTGGGCGTTTGAACGATTATATTAACATTTTAATATAGAAAAATAGAGAGTCTGAAACATCAAAAAATTAATCTTTCTCAATTTGTTTGACAACGACGTTTAATTCAAATTGATAAAGAGGAGAGTGATCAAGTTCGGGGAAAGGAATGACAGCTTTAACTCCGTCGTGACGTTCTATCAGTGCTCCGCCAATTACGTTTTCAGTGAAAACCAATCTAAAAATTTAAAATAGTTTTCGGTGGAAAATATATTGAAAACTCACTCAGAAAAAGCTAAAATTGCTTTTCTGTCCAACAAAACGTGGTCCACTTTGTTGGTTATAACGTTTCGATCCAGGTTATTCCCATCAATTGACATGTTTTCAAGTCTCTTCAATCCAGATCCATCCATCCAACATTCCAGAAGCCAAACAATGTTGTCATTAGTCAAGTGTGTGTCTTCGAGATTCATATCTTTACAATCGAACATCAAACAGTGCTCTAGTCGCCACCAAAAAGCATTCAGACAATTGATGATATTCACTTGTTGGTAACATTGGGCCCGATACTCCAAACTGGGCAAAACATTCATTCCGAGATAATGGCTTACTCTCACATTGCCAAGAAAATAATCGAGATCACTGTCCTTAATATGATTCAAATATATGTCGCATTTCTTCACTGATTCTTGTCGAGTTGAAATCCAATTAAATATTTTCACCAAATCGCCAGTCCATAAATAAATTGATAACTTTGAAATTGAATTATCTCGGATTAATAGATCACAGAAGAAGGTGAAATACTTGATGACATCTTCAGTGCTCATTGGTATCATTTCACCACTTTCTGTGTATGCGTATAAATAATATCGAATTCTATCTTGAGTATTATCAGAGTCTTCAGACTCATCTTCAGAATCTTCAATTTCATCGTCCTCATACGAAGATTCTTTAAAACTAAGTTCCAATTGTACAGGTTCATCCTCGTGAAAGAGTATTGCGATATTTAAAGCAGAAAAAATTGACTTGTTGGATCTTATATTTTGTTGACAGTGTTTAGAAGACTGAGCCAATGATGCGCTGAAATTTTAATGTTTCTCGAAGTGTATTCTACATTTTCCGTGTCTCTATAATTTGAGAAACCTTATTTTTATGGTTGAAAAGATTTTTTGACATACGAGACGACAAAAATCAAACTTTCGGAATAGAGAAAACAAATAAAAATGTACAACTTACAGGTCCATCGGAGCGATGTTTGAGATAATTTCTCTGAACACCACGTTGTCCACGCGGAGAATCGGGAAACGAGGTCTTCGATTCATTAAATTTATAGAAATGAGAGTAACAAAAACGAGAATAATGACACAATGAGAATGATGGACCAGCCGTAACCAAGTAGGTGGAGCTACGCATTATTTGATAGAGGTGTACATCAGATTATGTAATCTTCATATTTTATTATAGTCATGAAGACATCATTTTGAAATGTTATTGCATTTCGAAGTATCATTTCAGTTGTATGAAGTAGTTATTGAGGTGACAGGTGGTGGATTACTAAGGTGACAAATGGGGAATAGTCATCATGAGAACAATAAGAGGGGAGATGTGAATAGTGTTTATGGTGTGAGGTAAGTCTTACCTGGTAAGAGAGGATCTGGTAACTAAAAAGAAGAAAAAAAACATATTTATTCACGAGAGGGTAGTATTAGGTTGGCGGGAAAGTCTTTGTCACTCTGTTTGTTTAATCACTGTTCTCGTATATGGAGGCTGTGTATGATATCGACTCTAGTGAATAACAAGGTGATAAGAACCTTCCATATAAACAAGTCCCCATCTCCTTCCCTGCTCCTCATCTGTAATTGAAACGATATGTTTGTTCCCACTGCTATTCACATCAGACATGTTTTGATTTACCTCTTCCTATCTCACACCACGATGAAGGATTCGGAAACTTTCTTGAAGAATGTGTACAACACACATGCCCCTCACTACAATACTATTCGCAATTGGTTCCATCGTTTCGAAAAAGATGACTTCTCGCTCGATGAAAAGGATCGCTCTGGGAGACCCCGTGAGTTGGATTTGGACAAGCTGAAGCACGCATTGCAATCGGATCCATTTCAATCTAGCCGTGAACTAGCTGTCACATTCGGAGTTCACCATAGCACAGTCCTTGAAGGTTTGAAGTCTCTTGGAATGAGAAAACTTTTTGGTCGATTCATACCTCATCACCTGACTCAAGCCAACCTTGACCGCCGAGTCGACGATTCGATTACTCTTCTCACTCTCCACGCGGGCGATCGATGGCTGGACCGGCTAATAACCGGAGATGAGAAGTGGGTCTTCTACGATAATCACCACAGGAAATCCCAGTGGGTTGGAGAAGGAGAGAGCCCACAGGATGTCCCCAAACCCGACCTTCATCCGAAAAAAGTTATGCTCTCTGTGTGGTGGGGAGTGGACGGCCCCATCTACTGGGAACTTCTGCCCGAGGGCAAAACAATAACTGGAGACCTCTACACTACTCAACTACGAAACCTCAAGAAAGCAGTCGACCGTTCGGCCCTGAAAGACAAGAAAGTGTACTATCAACATGATAACGCTCGCCCACATGTTTCGAAACAAGTGAAGCAGGAGCTGATGGGATATGGATGGAATGTTCTCCCTCACCCCCCGTATTCTCCTGATCTTGCTCCTTCCGACTATTGGTTATTTGGCGATATGACACGTGCCTTCGAAGAAAGAAGCTTCAATTCCCGTGGAGCGGTCGAAGCGGCACTCAAACAATACTTTGCCTCACGCCCGGCTGGATTCTACCGCAATGGAATCCATAAATTGAGGGAACGTTGGAGACATGTTGTTGATAATGATGGACAATATAATTAATTATTCGGTTATTTTTTCTTTGAGAAATAAACTATTGAAAAAGTGACAAAGACTTTCCCGCCAACCTAATAAGTTGAGAACTGAGTGAAAAAGGGAATTAGGAAAAATAGCTGTTGTTTTATTATCCTTGAATAACATGCTACTTGAAAATGGGCCCTAGCGGGTCTTGTCTTATTTTATTTCAGAATCACGATTCTCTGACCAACTAAATAAGCATAAATTTTAGCAGAAATATTACATCAGCAAATGTGTATGTTTGAGACGATTCTCCCTTCCCCCTCAATCCTTGCTGCATGCGCGCGAAACGCGCCTGCAAGATCCACCGATTTTAAACATTTTATCGGCAACTGCGTAATATGATATCAATAGTAATGACAATATCTCATGAAGAAGAACCAAAGTTTATACAGGGTGCGGCAAAAGTATGGTAACACAAGTTTCGCGCAGGCTGGTGGGTGCAGGCGCACTTTCAGTGTCCTGAATTTATATTCATTATTTTCCGCATGTCTTAATTACCTTATCACCATATTTCAATTCTTTTGGTTGATTTTTACAGAAATGGTGACAAGTTCTATACACCTAGATACCCTCGTCGAGGTAGCCAAGAGAGGGGTGGGCACAGGTAGCATCGGAAAAGCTCTTGGAGTCTCACGAACAACCCTGTGGATAACCATGGCATGTTTTGATTAGTTAAATTCGGTCAATAACTGTCTAAAAAACACAAGATCTCAAACTTTGATCATTCTGAAAAAATGCAAGACTGTCGCGGCTTGGGATTGAGGGGCGATGAGCCCACACTCCTAGCGAGCCGTGACTGTTATGCAACCCTTGGCTCCTTCCGTTGAGATGGTATATAACGATGAGTTGGTTCACAATGTGTTTATTGAACACTTGGCTGGGCAACTGAGATCCCAGAAGGATACAATAGATGTTAATGAATAGGTGGTGAGGAGAGGAGCGAGGGAAGGGAGCAACCTTCCTGCATGGCTGCAGGTTGGAAGACTGACTGGGATAATGATGACAATAGGTCAGTGATTAGGGATGCGAGAGACGCAGAGACGCTTGGCACGTCTAGAGGCGTTTCCTTGGTGTATTGAGTGACTGTAGGCTCCCGATGGTGCAGACGTACTAGGCTAATTCATAAAGTCGTGCCCTCGGGAGAGGGCGCGACAAAGACCGTCCAAAAACGAGTTTGTCAAAATCAGCACCGAAGAAAGAAAAAATGAACCTGGAGCTCCGAATGAGCAGTCAGCCACTCAGTAGAATCGCTAGAAGTGAGCTTGGACTGACCCCATATCGTGTTCAAAAGACTGGAATTCTGTCGGGAAACAACAATCTGGTACGCGTCCAGAAGTGCAAGTCGACATTTGCTGGCACGCGCCAAAATGAACACATGAATATGATGTTTGTCAACGAGAAACTCTTGACGGTGGAAGTCGAATTCTCATTGAAAAATTATCTAGTTTCTTCCCCGAGATCTGAGCTATCTAATGAGCATAGTAACATGACCAAAAAAGTTTCATATCATCAGAACGTCATGGTTTTTGGTGCAACAACCTCCAAATTCTAATTTTTGTAGATTTTGGGGTGAAAATCAACAGAAATGACTAATATGCAAAAATTTTCAAGGGTTATGTTCTTTCGTGGGCCAAATCCAATTTTGAAAACCATGTTTGGACTATTCAACGGGATTCTGCTCCCGCTCACAAGACAAAAATCATTTAGCCATGATGCACGGCCAGTTTTTCAATATTCAGTATGATTTGCGAATGGTCACCCTCGTCGCCAGACAGGAATCTGTTGGACTATTCCGCATATGGAATATTTCAGTCGAGGGTCCGAGCACGTCCAGAACCAAATTTGTAGCCATTGAAATGAAGGTTGATCTCAGACTGGGTCAATTTATCTCCAAAATACCCCCGTGCCACGGTAGATGCGTTCCCGAAGAGACTCATCGATGTTGTGAGGAACAAAGGCAACCGCGTCGTTTATAATTTCAGAATTAGAAAGTATTCAGTAAACTATTGTCCAATTTTCATGTTGATACGGGTTATTTTGGCAAAGTTACATCACTTTGAATGTGTTACCATACTTTTGCCGCACCCTGTATAAAACTATTTAGTTTTATTTAGAGCTTTTTCGTTGGAAATAATTGAAAATTAACATTGATTAGTCACGAAATTCTCTTGGTTTTGTTCCGATTAATTCTGCCGACAACGCGACAGAGTCAAATTGTAAAACACGTAGCCTGTTATTCAAGGATGAAAGAGAGATGGTTAAATAATTTTTCGAAGTAACATCAAAGGCAAAACGTGGCAAAGTAAGCATTTCGGAGTTTTCCCCCCACGAACGCTTTCGAATTCTGACTGTTGTGACAGTTTTAGTTTATTTCATTTTTATCCAAAGCCGGATCAGGAAGTTTTGATGTTCTTTTTGTAAAGTATGATTTTTTATCAAGGTTTTTTTTTGAAAAAAAAATTTCCTTGAGAGAAAAATACACTTTTTGAAACAAAATTTATCAGAATGTTTTTAATGAATATAGTTTCTGAAAAAGCAAACTTTTCTTTTAATAATATAAGTGCGTTTTGTATAAAATTCTAGAATAATCGCAAAAACAAAAAAATTATTCGTGCTTGTTTGGTTTGTCGAGAACATATAATTCGAACTGACGAATAGGCACGCGACCAGGTTGAATGAAAGGAATGACGGCTTTGACACCGTCGCTACGTTCTATCACTGCTCCTCCGTTTGCGATCTCAGTGATGACCGATCTAAAAATGTTAAAATACTTTTTAGGTGGAAAATATTAACAACTCACCCAGACATGGCTGAAATCGCTTTTCTGTCCAGTAGAATGTGTTTCACTTTGCTGACTATAATCGACCGGTTCAAGTTGTTCCCATCGATTGCCATATTTTTGAGAATTTTTAATCCGGAACCATCCAACCAACATTCAAGAAGCCACACAATGTTGTCGTTGGTCAAGTGTGTGTCTTCGAGCATGATCTTCTTACAATCAAACATCAAAAAGTGTTCCAGTCGCCACCAAAAAACATTCTGACAATCGATGGTATCCAATTGTTGGTAACATTGGGCCCGATACTCCAAACTGGGCAGAACATTCATTTCAAGCTTATCGGTTACTTTGACAATTGCGAAAAAATGATTGAGATCGCTGTCCTTAATATGATTCATATAGAGTTCAAATTGTTTCACTGATTCTTGTCGAGTCGAAATCCAATCAAATATTTTGATCAAATCGCCAGTCCAGTCAAAAATTGATACATATGAAATGATATTATCTTTGATTAATAGATCAACAAAGAAGTCAAAATACAGAATGGAGGCTTCAGTGCTCATTGGTTTCTTTTCACCAATTTCGGTCTTTGTGTGTAAATCTTGGTTTTCATCATTTTCATCGTCAGAATGTTCAGATTCATCGTCCTCCCCCGAATAATCTATAAAACTGAGCTCCAATCCTGCAGGGTTATTCTCGTGGCAGATTATTGCAATATTTAAATGTTGGAATATTGACTTGTTAGCCTTTATAACTCTTTGATAACGTCGAGAAGATTGAGCAAACGATACACTGAAGTATAAACAATTATTTAAGAGTGGAGTAAACGTTTCGTGTGTGAAATCTGTTTTACTTACAGTACTAGTCACTAAGATACCGTAAAAACTCTATTAGATAGCCACCCCTAATTGAATGCCAGCCTCTAATATAGTGCCATCCTAGAGCACCTCCGAACAAGCCCCTAATATAATGCCACTGCGGACCTGATACCACTGTGGTAAAAGTTAAAGAATAACACAAAAGATCATTTTCTGGTTTTTTAGCTGTTTTCAAGCTTAAAAGGTGTACTGTATTTGTCAAAAATGTTTCAGGATAATATCAGACTTTGAAATTCTCTTAAAAAGAGGTAGAAAACTCAAGAAAACCTCAAAGGTCATGTTATGAAAATCTTGAAAATCGTGTCCTTTCGTGTTACTAGTTAAGCATTGAAGCATCATGAGTATAACCATGTTTTTAAAAAATGCGGATTTACAAAAATCGATTTAACGACTAATAGAACAAAACAACTTACAGGTCATACGGAGCAATGTTTGAGATGATTTTTCTAAACACCAAGTTGTCCACGCGGAGAATTGGGAAACGACGTTTTCGAGGATCCATTGAACTTATAGAAATACGTGTAGAAAAAAGGAGAATAATGAAACAATGAGAAAGATGGGGCACTCGTAATCAAGTAGGTGGAGTTACATTACTCGATTGAGGCGTACATCAGATTATATGATCTTTATTTTTTATTATAGTCATGAAATCATCATTTTGAGAAGTGATTGCATTTGAAGTATCATTTCAGCTGTATGAAGTAGTCATTCAGGTGACAAATGGCTAATTGCCATCGTGAGAACGCTAGTCAGGGTAATAACTAAACAAATGGCGTTTGCGAGGAGGAGGTGTGAATAATGTTCATGGTGTGGGGTAAGGAAGAATCTGCCAACTAAAAAGAAGAAAAAAGAAACATATTCAAAAAAGTATTCAAAAATAAGATTTGTTGTTTTCAATTTGTTTGTTCTTCATTTGGCTAGAAAATGAGCACATTTGTTTCGGTGACAATAATTCACTGGCCAACGTTTCTTGTTCTTGTTCTTATTCAAAAAAATGTGTTGTATTAAGAATTGGATGAGAAACCTGTTTCGAAAGAGCTTGAAAATATTTTTTTGTATTTCAAAACACAATATGTCATTGACAAACTTCAAAAAAAAAAAATAGATACCGTATTTTCTATTTAAAAACCGTTAACTTTGAGCTTCAATCTCTCGATTTCTGTAACAAATATGGAAGATTTTTCAACTGATAAGTTATTCATCATGTTATCACCAATATTTCATGAACTGAAAGTTTTTTTAAATATCTTTCACAAGAATCGAGATGATGAGGCTCAAAGTTACCGGTTTGGGTTTTCTTCTTTTATAGGAAACACGGTACTTTGAAAAGTTTCGAAAAAATCAGTTTCTCTTTTTCATTTTTGAAAATTTATCTATATATGTATGAAAAAAATATGGGAACTTGCAAACATAACAAAAATAATTTATGAGGTTAAAGAACTAAAATATTAGATTTTATCAAATTTAAAAAATCATTCCCACATTTTCTTTATCTGATTCATGTGGTCATCTTGAGTTTGCTGGGTTTTACTTATAACCGAAATTAGTGTTATCCTGGTGGCCCGTGAAATTTTTATACGTACTATGAGAATTACTGGAATTGCTAGTGCCATATATGGGATTGTCTGAAAATGCATTTTCATTCAAAAAAAGGTTAGCGCATTTCCTTCAATAGGAGCCCACCCAAACCATCAACGTTGAGCTTAATTATCTCAATATCTGTGAAAGATAGAACAATTATTATCCTTGTCAGAGAAAAAAAAAGGTTGAGTCGAAGTGTATGCGAAGTTTGTAAACAAATATCTGAAAGCGTAAACAAAAAAAAACGTAAACAAACACAGTTGAAACGAGTGCGACAGTAACCCGGCGGAAAATGTTAAACTTACCTATTTTTTAGTTTTTCTCATATTTTGCAGCAAATTTCGTCGAACATGGTTTGTTTTTCATT